TATTTATTTTTAATTTTGATACAGGATCTTGCCAAGTTGTTCAGGCCAGGCTGAAACTTGTGATTGTCCTGCCTCAGCTTCCCCAGTGCTGGGATTATAGGTGTGTGCAACCATACCTGGCTTACCTGTTAATTTAAGTGCTTATTAGTTATGCAGAATAATGAGTTTTTTTTTTTTTAATTTATTGGTACATGTTTGCAGTAATACCTATTACCTCTTAACTCAGAGTCTTCAGTTTGTAAAGACTCTGAAGTGATGGAAACTTAAAACTGCACTAAGCCTTTGGAGCCTCCAGGGTGTGGTCCCTTGGACTGAGGGTGCTGTGGAGAAAAATAAAACAGGTGGAAGTGGGGGGAGGTTGCTCAGCAAGTAGGTTGGGAGTGGAAATCACAGATTTAAAGGAGTGGTCAGCAAAGGACTTGTTGGGAAGGGATGTGAGTAGGGAATTGAGGTAGAGCCTGTGGGGAAGAACTTCACAAGTGGAAGAAACAGCAAGTATAAAGGTCTGAGGTCCAAGTGAGGTTGGCAGGGTACTTGTGTATAAGGACCCCCAAATCATCAAGCAGTGAAAGGTCAGACTTTTGAAAAGTGATTTCATCATAAGGCTGCTGAAGCTGATTTGCTGTGAGGAGAGGAGGCCTGGCCTGAGAGGCAGGTCACAGGCGGCAAGGTCTGGAAGCGGATACTGTGTCTCCTCTCCGGCCTCTGCCCTTGGCTCTCTGCTTCCTGGATGCCTTGGGGTGAGAGCAGCTTTCCTTTGCTCAGGCCCTTCTGCCGTGCATTAGAGCCAGCCAGCTATAAACTGTGAGCCAAAGTAAACCTTTCCTCCTCTGAATTATATGTGTTGGATATTGTGTCTCAACAGTGAGGAAAGTGACTAAGAATGTACTAGTGCATACAGACTAAAAGGAAAATTCTAGGATTTTAGGGCTATTCTAGTGAGAGGTCACTGTGATACTCTGTAGCCAGTGGTCCATTCTCAGACTTCATCCTACTTCAGCTGCCCAGCAGCATGGGCCTAGATGGTCACCTTCCCCTTAGAAACAGGATCTCATCTTAGCTTGATCACATCTGCAAAGACCCTATATCCAGCTGGGTGTAGTGGCGCACACCTGTGATCCTGGCCATCAGACACTGAGGTAGGATTATAAGCTTGAGTTCAGCCGAGGCAGCTTAGTGACTTAGCAAGGCTGTGTCTCAGAACTTTTCAGAGAGGGCTAGGGGTGTAGCACAGTGATGGAGTGCTTTGTATCAAGTGTGAAGCCCTGGGTTCAATTGTCAGGAGTGGGAAAAACAAAACCAAACCCATATATCCAAATGAGGTCATATGCACAGATACGGAAGTAGGACTTGAATTTGTCTTCGTGGGGCACAGGGCCCAGCGGGCCACAGAAGGAAATGCTGTTGGAATTGAGAGCAGGAGAGACTGGGTGTTGAGGCTGGTGGTGTGCAAAGGCTAGGGCTGAAGCCAGGATGGCTGGAGCAGAGTCAGGGACAACCCAAGGCCCAGCCCACGCCAGCTTCTCTCAGCCTTCTTTACGGGCTGTTGGTTGGCCATCACATGCTCTTACTAGGCTGTGGCAAAATTCGTAATTTACAGCTATGTTTCCTTTCTTCAACAGGAAACTACTTTGCTTCACACTTTTTCATGGGAGGTGAGAAATTTGACACCCCCCACCCTGAAGGTTACCTCTTTGGAGAGAACATGGATCTGAACTTCCTAGGCAGCCGCCCTGTCCAGGTAGGTCTCCATGGGGCTGGCTGGCGGCTTTGGGGTTAGGAGGCCCTGCCTGTGTCCAGTTACGGAGATGCGCAGGGACTGAGTCACCCCAAAAAGGGCAGAACTCCTGGCAGGACTACAGTTGAGCAAAGCTGGCCATGGGCATGTGAGCTGGAGTGTGTCCTGGTACTGTCAGTAAGAGGTCAGACAGCTGGGGTGGGTCCTTGAGACACAGAGCAGCCATTCATGAACTGGTGCCTCCAGGCTACAGAAAGTCACATATTGATTCCAGGCCTCTTGGACAACTTTCTTTAAAAAGCAAAAAGAACATCCGCATCCTATAAAAGAGCTGGCGTGAGATGTGACCCCATAGGAGAAATGGAAATGGCTGGGAGATGTTTTTCAGTAGTTGCCAGAGAACTGCATGTTCCTATCTGTTTATTCCACACACACTGTGTGCCTAGGACTCTTCAGGGGCTGGCAACAGAAGTCAGACCTTGGGCTGGGGATATAGCTCAGCAGGCAGAAGTGCCTGCCTGGTAAGTACATGGTCCTGAGTTCGATTTCCGGTACCAAAAAAAAAAAAAAAGAAGTCAGACCTTGCTTCTCTCCGTCTGTGTCTGTGTGTGGTGCACATCATAAAGAGGAAAGCATTGGATGGATAGATGGTAAGGTCGGGGCTGAGCTGAGCTGTGGTAGAGTGGGGAGGAGCGCCCAGGAAGAACAGGAGCTCAGTGAGGCTGGAGTAGCCTGTGCCAGGCTGCTGGCAGGTTGTGAATCTGAAGGCAAGCAGGGCTCTCCAGGCTGGCTTGAGGGCAGAGCTCGAGGAAAGGGCACGGGCCCCTGTGGGTGAGGTGTTAGGATATGTATCTGTTCCCTCTCCACCAGCAGCATTGAGAGCTCATCCCACCACCAGGAGCAAAGCCGACCACTTCCCTCAGGGATCTCTCTGGCCTGGTTGAGTTGCTGAGGGTCCTTCATGCAATTGGGGATGGTGGCTCAGTGGTCAGATCACTTGGGACGGCACCATTCCCAGCCCATCTGCTGCCTGCATGCCCATGGTTTCCTTCCATGGAAATAATAATGCAAATCACACACCTAGTGTCCAGCGCTGCCCTCATGTGGAGACCAGAGCCCAAGAATGCCTGTCTTTTGGGTTCCAGGATCACTGCTCCTGTGATCCCTGTTTCCTGCCTTCTCCTGGTCCCCAGGGAGTCACGTGGGACCCTGTGGGTTTTTCCCTTCTAGTTTCCCTATGTCACTCCTGCCCCCCACGAGCCTGTGAAGACACTGAGAAGCCTGGTGAATATCCGCAAAGACTCCCTCCGACTTGTGAGGTAACTCTGTCTTGTCCTGCTGGGGTCACCAGACTGTGGTCTGGGGTGCCTGAGGCCCTTTTGGGTGCAGAGGCTCCCATTTGATGCCTGGGAGGTGGAGGGAGTATTGAGTGGGCTCAGCCTCTGCTGTCTTGTGTGGCATCAGAGGCCGTAAACAAGAACTTGATCCTTCAAGCCGGGGGTTCTCATCTGGGCAGTTGTGCCTCAGGGACACTGGGCAATGTCTGGAGACAACTGGGCAGAGGTCAGAGAAGCTGCTGCACCTTCCGCAATGCCCAGGACACCCCATAGCCAGGAATGGTCTAGCTCCAGATGTCAGTAGGTTGAGAAATTGCTTTAAAACCATATGACTGAAGGAATCTGGGCTATTTCTAAGCCAAGAGGAAGAAAGGGAAGCGGACCCTGGATTGTTGGCCTTACGTCCACACAGGGAGTGGGCCTCTACATTTGCTAGAAGAAATGTGTCCAAGCAGGTGATTCCGAGGCCTGGGCTTGCTCTCACGCCGTGACCCCTGACTTGTGTCTCCCCTGCTTCCTTGGGTAGGTACAAAGATGATGCTGACAGCCCCACCGAGAGTGGTGAGAAGCCCCGGGTGCTCTACAGCCTGGAATTCACTTTTGATGCCGATGCCCGAGTGGCCATCACCATCTACTGCCAGGCGGTGGAGGAGTTCCTGAATGGCATGGCAGTGTGAGTCCTTGGCACAACCAAACACTCAGGCTTTAGGGCTTAGGCCCCGTTTGTGAGCTTTCCATCTTTTCTTTTTTTTTTTTAATAGGGTCTCAGTGTGTAGTTTAGCCAGCCTTGAACTCACCGAACCCAGGCTGGATTTGAATTTATGATCCTTTTGCCTCAGCCTCCTTAGTGCTGGGATTATAGATGCCTATTACCATACCTGGCCCATCTGTTTTCTGTTTTGTTTTGTTTTTGGTCTTAAGATAGGGTCTTGCTCTGCAGTTCAGGCTGACATTGAATTCACTTTGTAGCCCAGGCTGGCCTTGAACTTGCAGCAATCTCCTCAGCCTCCCACGTGCTGGGATTACAGACGGGCGCCACCATGCCCAGCCCATCTGTATTATTAAGCATAAGAAAAATTTCTTTGTTCCTACTCTGTTCTCAACACTTCTTTTTTCTTTTTCTTTTTTTTTTAGTGCTGGGGCTTGAACTCAGGTCCTTACATGTATCAAGTATGTTTTCCTCCACTGTCCTTTGGGTTTGTTTGAGACTTCCTCATGTAGGCCTCATCAATTACTAGTGCAGTCTGTGATCCTTCTTCCCTTCTTAGAGGGAGTGTGGGGCTGAAAGTTCCTAACTTATGATCATGGCTTGGTCTTTCTGCTGACCAGTCCTCTCTAAGAGGTCACCAGAGTTACTGCCTTAGAATGGAAGTGTTGGTATCACCCAGGAAATTGCAAGGGATTGGGAGCTCTGTGCCTAGAACTAGGGGCAAACACCAAATATATATTTTTTATTATGTCATGGAAACACATTTGAACTTTGGGAGATTTTAATTGAAATGAGGATCCTACTAACCCCGGAAGTTTGCAGCCTGTAACTTCAGCGCAACCATGGCAGGGCTGCCTAAGCCTCTAAGGCCAGTCCCTGCCCAAGGGCCTTGTGGACAAGCTAGGATTAGATCTGGGTGGGGCTGAGAGCTGGGACTTTGAGTGCTGCCCTGCTTTGTACCTGCCAAGGAGCTTAGGGCCTGTAACAGCCTGTGCCTCAGCTTCCTCAGATGGGAATGAGAGTGGCTGGGACTTCTCCCCCAGGGTTGGTGTCACCCATGCAGAGCTCCTCACTCATATAGTTGCTCCTGGAAGGCACATGTGAGTGCTTGAAGCCAGATGCTGGCAGAGGCAGTTGCAGTGGGCTTCCTAAGGAGTATTCTACCAGGCAAGTCCCCCAGATGGCCCTCTTTCCCCTTGGACTTAGGTCCTGGGCTCCCAGTCCAGGGGCAGTGCTTAGGAAGAAGCAGGAGCTGTTTTCTAGATGGCTTTCCTTGTGGCTCGCACTCAGCACGTGATTGCTTTTTGGGGCAAGGGCTAATGGGGAAGGAACCCATGGAGCACAGAGCTACCTCTCATCCCTTTTTATTTTTTAATTTTAAGACAGAATCTCTAAGTTGCCCAGGCTGGCCTTCTTGAACTTGCTATCATTCTGTCTCAGTCTCCCAAGTAGCTGGGATTACAGGTGTGTGACACCATGCTCGACTACTCTTTTTAGTGACACAAAGGGATACATGAGTATGTATTTAATATATGCTAATTCAGAGTTACAGGAGTAGAGTGACCAGCGTGAGCCCCTCTGCCCTTGCTTTGTACCTCATGAACCCCGGGATGAATGTGTTGCCCTACTGAAGCCTGAGACAGTATGACGCTCTGATGCCTGCCTTCCTTGGGCCTCCTGTGGGGTGCCACACTGTGGTGGTTGGATAGGAGCGCGTGCGTTTCTGAGATCTCCTCGGGCTCAGTCACATAGAGGAGGAGGCTCAGGTTCTGGGGAGTGCCTTGGGGCTACCCCAAAAGAGGTGAGGGGCAGAGTCAGAGGGGCCTGGTACAGGTGGGTGGCTCACCACCCTCATTCTCAGCAGTCCCCCTAGCTCTGCTATTCTGTGTCCTACATGAGACGATCAGCTGGCCAGCTATAGTTGCCTGGGGTTGTGCTGCAGACCCCCAAGGATGGGTGACGGTAGAAATGCCACATTGACCCCTTCTTGAGATGTGGCTTGATGCCTGCTTCTCCTTCCAGCTTGCTGGCTCTAGTAATGCCAGAAGCAAATCAATGAGACAAAGAAGCAGGGAGGCCTAAACTAGGATGCCATGCCTGGGAATGTGGAGCCTGGGAATGTTCTGTCCTGAGTTTGGAGGGCAAGTGGCTCTCTGGTCCTTCCCTGGTCTCCTAGCAGAGACGGAGGCTCAGACAAAGGGGTGTGTTCAGCTATGAGAGAAGACACAGGTCTGCTTGAAAGCAGCTTCCAGGGCTGGGGCCTCTTTCCTGAGGGGGCTGTTCTGGAGCAGGGGCATAGGAAGCGAGTGTGAGGGCAGAAGGGGAAGACGGTGTACTACATTCATTCAGACAAAGTCAACAAAAAACCCAGTACACAGGTGTCCCATGTCTGGGAAGGTAGCAGAGGAATCAAGCAGGTGTGAGCTCTGGAAGAAACTATCACCAGGCAGGACTGCGCAGAGCCATGTGGCCAGCAGAGAGAGGCTTAGGAGCCCTCTAAAGAGCAAGGGCAACCTGGCCAAATCGGGGAGTGGGCGCAGGCCTCAATGCTGCAGTGGTCTCACCCATCTCTGCCTCCCCCAGGTACAGTCCCAAGAGCCCGGCCCTGCAGTCGGAGACCATCCACTACAAGAGGGGAGTGAGCCAGCACTTCTCACTGCCTTCCTTCAAGATTGACTTCTCTGAGTGGAAGGACGACGAGGTAGTTCTTGGCGGAACCCCTCCGCTCCCGTGTTCTTTCCCTTGGGAGCAGGCATGGGCTTTGGGGCCTGTTGGTGAGTGCTAGGAGTGGCTGCCCAGGTGTCAGGAGAGGGACTGAGGTGGCTGATGTTGGCTGCCTAGGTAGGTGAGGCTGAGCAGAGAGCAACCATCAAGGAGGTCGGGTACTGGCTTTGGGAGGGGTAAAAATGGGGCCCCTGCATTGTCATTGGTCCTGGGAGATAAGAGGATGGGGTCCCTACGTTGACTTCAGCCCCAGCTGCAGGCTTTGGGGAGACATGAAGAAGGGGTCCCTATGTTGTTGTCAGCCCAGGACAGCAGCATGGCAGTGTCCGTGAAAACTGGGTGGCATCCCTTTCACCCTTTTATTTTTATTTCTTTTCTACATTATGGTGTGGCCAACTGTCAGTACTTACGGTCCTCCTGAGAGGCCCCTTTGGTGGGTTGCCAGTCTCCCCTACCCGCCAGCTTCCATTTCCCTGCTTTGCCCTTTGCCTTAGTTCCCAGTGTCTGGCGTCTGTCCTTTTGCAGAGGGGAAACTGCAAAAGGACAAGGCTTGTTCACACTGAACAGGTGAGGAACCAGACTCTTCCTTGGCAGTCCAGAGTATGGCTCTGTGCAGTAGCTCCCAGCCCATGTCTTTCCCTACTGATGTAGACTGGACCCTCAGGCACCCCGCCACCTCCACACAAGCCTCTGTACCCATGCCTCCAGCGGTCCACGGCTGTCCACATGGATACTGGTCTCTGTCTCCTGGGCTCCATGTGGCCCAACTCTAGACCTTCCCTCAGGAGCATTGTGAAGACAACCTGTGTGGACTTGGGTTGCAGATCCTCTTGTGTGGATGGCGTAGCTGAGTGTGGAGCTTGTGGGCTCCAAAGGGCAGGAAGCTCTGCTGTAGCTGTCTGCCAGTGGAGCAGGGATGGCACCTGTGAGGCTGGTGTCCTTGTGCTGGGACAGGCAGCCGGACCATTTGCTGATGTGGTGTCATCATGATGTGGACATGCCTCCAAGCAACCTGGGTGCCATCCCCTTCACTGTGCTGGGTGGCCTCCCTAGGCTGCAGTTGGGCCTTTCTGTTACCTGCGTGTTCCTTCTAGTCCTTCCGCTCTGACTACTCTCTAGTCTATTCCCAGTGTTTTCTTTCCATATTTTCCGTGGGAAATCCTTTGTTGGCAAATCTTAGGAAGAAACAGCTCCCTCTTCTGTAAATATTCACAGTGTAAAAGCCCCCCACAGCCAGTATCTCTGTGCGGGCCAGTTGGGAGGATTTCACTTACATCTCATTGTTGAAATCCATGTGGTTGGTGCAATAATGACTCCATTTTACAAAGTGGGAAACTGAGGCTCAGAAGATTAAAAAAGATTCACCCTGGGCCACTGGATGGGGACACATTCCCAAGCTCTGCTTCTGCTGCCGTTCATGCAGAGCAACTAGTGAAAGGGAGACAGGCCCGTGCATCCCACGCTGCACACTAATTTGTCCTGACCCTTGGGGAAGAATGGTGACCTGAGCTCTGCTGAGCCGCTACTCCAGTTGGGGCTTTGTGGTTTCGGAACCTCTCCACTCACAGGGCATGTGTAGTGGTGGGCATAGAGTTCCAGTGAGCCAGCCCAGTAGCAGCTCCAGTGCGACATCCCCCTGTGCAGTCTTGGCTAAGCATGGCAGCTCTTTGAATTCTAGATGTAGAGGACTCTGCTCCTTGGCCCCACTGCAGAAGCCTGAGCTGGGGCCACTATCATTGGCCCTTCCTCTTTTATTTTTTTAAATTGGTACATGTTTATAGGACATAATGATTATATACATCATTGGGAGTTGATACGTGTACATAAAACTGCTTCTGACATGGAGAACACAAGAGGCGGGTTTTTTTTTGTTTTTGTTTTCTTTTCTTTTTGTCTTTTTGAGACAGGGTCTCGCTATGCAGTTCAGGCTGGCCTTGAGCTCACTTTGTAGCTCAGGCTGGTCTGGCACTCACAGTGATCCTCTTGCCTCAGCCTCCCGAGTGCTGGGGTTACAGGCGTGTGGTAGCACGCCCGGCCATAAAACATGTTAAATCTCTTTCCATCATCTTTCCTCTCTCCTGCCTCCATCTCTTAGGGCCCTTTCTTTTCAGTGTCTCATCCATTCTCTGTTCTTTGGTTTTTAACAGTTTTATGTGATACAATTCACATGCCATACAGCCCATTCATTCCAAGGGTACATATAGATTGGTGTTCTTTAGTATGTTCATTGTGGTGCAACCAGCTTCCTTTGTTTTAGTAAATTTTTATTGAGAATAAACGAACAAATCATGTGTCTATCAGACACTGAGAGGGTCATGGCAACCAGGGCTTCATCCTTCACAGCTTCTGTATAGCAGGGAGTCAGGTGGACTGAGGGTCACCTGGTGACTGTCCTAATACAATGGGCTTGGTGACATGGAGAACACAAGAGCCGGTGTTCTCTGGCATCCCCCGCTCCATGTGGGAGTTCAGGGAAGCCTTTCTGGAGGCCCAGGGCAGGAGCTAGCCAGCAGGGCACAGGGTGAAGACCAGGGTCTGCAGGGAACAGATCTATACCAGCCGGAAGGTTGAGCCTGCTGCAGTGGGTGAGCCTGGAGCTGGAGCTGAGGCCAAGCTGACTCTCTGGGACGTTTTGAGCCAGAGTAGAGCATCTTTTACCTGAGAATAGCAAGGAGGTTTCTCCTTGACTGTGGACTTGCTGTGGGCTCTCTCCTTTGACTCTGGGGAGGGCCAAGCCAGGTGCCTTTCTCCAAACACTTCAGTGGTTTGATGTGACCCAGATCTCCGAGGGAAACACCTAAGAGAATGGAAAGCAGAGACTCAAACGTATTTGTACCTAGTGATCATAGCAGCCCTGTGCGTGATGGCAGTGATGTGGAAACAGCCCCAGGGAATGGATAAGCAGAATGTGGTCCGTCCATACAGTGGAGTAAGTGCAACCATGAAAAGGAGTGGAATTCTCATATATACTGCAGCATGGATATCTTTGAAAGCATTGTGCTCACTAACAGAAGTCAGGCACAAAAGGCCAAAACTGCATGATTCCACTTACAGGAAATGTCCAGAATTAGGCACGTTCACAAAGACAGGAAAGAATGGTTGCCAGGGGCTGAGGGGAGAGAGTGGGGAGTTACTACCTAATTCATATAGCGTTTCTGTTTTTAGTCATGAAAAAAATTCAGAAATGGTGGTGGTGATGGTTGCATGACGCTGGGTGTCCATGATGCCATTCTGTCCCCATCCTCTGAGCCTTTTCTGATGCCGTCCTGCTTACTGGCTTTTCCTCCATCGTGGTCTTTGACGGTTTTGAGTCCTGACCAGTTTCGCCTCCTTTCCTTCTCAGCTGAACTTTGACCTGGACCGGGGCATGTTTCCAGTGGTCATCCAGGCCGTGGTGGATGAGGGAGATGGTGAGCAGTGCTGGCCTTTCCCCTTCCCCATGCCTTTTGAGTGTCTATGGGCCCTGAAGGGTAGAGGCCATTCCTGGGGCCCTTCCCACCTCAGCCAGCAAGAGGAGTCCCTTCCAGAAGGGATGAAGGGCTGTGGAGTGGCCACATGGGGCAGCTTGGAGGACGGGGAGACTGGGGAGACCAGGGAGCCGCTGCAGAGGTGGACAAGATGAGGTTGAGCCCTGGAGCAAGCTCTGGGTGCTGCCCTCAGGTGTGGCTCTGGGAAACCATACTGGAGGGGAAGGGGTACAGGGGCCAGGCAGGTAGGTGGCAAGTTCTCTTTGCCCTGCTCGTTGTCTTGACTGCTCTCTACTCTGTGGTTCTGTCCCCTTGCAGTTGTGGAAGTGGCTGGCCACGCCCATGTGCTTTTGGCTGCCTTTGAAAAGGTAAGTGTCATCCCAGTCACTGTCCTGGGAACTGGGGCACAGGGGTGACTTTTGAGACCAGAAGTCTGAGGCGTGGGGGTCTGGGCTTGGTACAGGGGCCAGGTGTCAGTCCCGGTCAGGTGGAAGATTCTCTGGTCATTCCTAGGTTCCCAGGAGACAATCTAAGGCCGAGAGTCCTCACTCAGAAGCTTTTCAGAGGGGATTTGGAATGGCAAGGGGAAAACATTCTAGAGTGAGGCTAACCCTGTAGATCTTTTAGAATCTGCCCACACAGGCCAGGACGTCCGCATGGACGAGGTTCGTTTGCCAGAGACTAACGTTATACTTGGATGTGGAAAGTGTCAAGGGTGTTACCTCAACCTGGCCTGGCCCTTTTCTGCCAGGCCTGGCATTCTCAGCTGTCACCTGGGACCTGTCATAGTCCCACCTGATGCACTGCCCTCCTCACTTGGCAGTGCTCGGCTCCTTCCTCTAGCTGGCTGCAGCACCCTGACCCCGCAGAGCCAGGCAGGCCTTGTTCCTGTGGGGGAAGCCTTTCCTGATCCACCCGGCCAAGCACTGTCCTTTCTTGTTTGATGTTTGTGAGGGCAGAACTGGCTTCTGATTTGTCGTTGTAGCCTCAGCTGGGCATGACATTGGGCAGAAGATGATCAGTGATGTTGGGGTGAGTGAGGGTCTCCTGCTTCCTAGCATGACCCAAGACCTGTGTAGGTCCCTGCTTGCTGGAGGTAGGGAGTGTGTGATAATGGCCCCCAAGTCCACCTTTCCTTTGCCCTTTGACTTGTCCCAGCATTCTGCGGTTGTAAAGTGTGTCAGTGGCAGGCTGGGGCTCAGGAGACCAGCACCTGGTGGGGAATAGACTCCAGCTTGGGGCTTTCCACCATACCTGTGGACTCTTTGATGCCGGCCCTGGCCCTGCAAGCCCCTGCAGCCCCTGACTGCCTGCCCCGTGGAGTGCAGGTGCTCTTCAGGGCTGGGTCTGGGGCCCATTGGACTTACTTTGTTGTGAGGCTGAGTCTGCTTTCCCAGGGCCAGGACTGTAGACAGCGCTGATGTGAGTGCCTGAGGCAGAGGCCGGCCTCCTCCTCCTGCAGTCCTGGGACCCCCAGCTGTTCTTCCAAAGTCTGGCCTGGTTAGAAGAGGTGGAAACTAGGATCCATGCTACTGGACCACACAGCCAACCTTATGGAAGTCTGTGCATGCCATGCCGTATTACTAGATGACTACAATGGATGCAGGCATGAGAGTCCAGCTTTAACATCAGCACATGGGGGACTTTAAAGTGAGACACCTTGGTGAACACTGTGTGGGTCAGGAGCTACTCTCACATCAGCATTCATGTGAACCAGGACAATGAGGGTGATGAGTTGACCTTGGAAAAAGAAAGGAGAGTTAAATTGAAGAGTAAGGATGTCCTGTCATCCTCCGGAACTAATCAGCTCTTCAGTGAACTGGTGACTACATACCTAGGAGCACCTCACTGGCCTGGGGTTGTGTTGTATCCTGTGGAGAGAATTACAGCCAAACCACATGTAGAGTGAATTGTGACTTTTGGTACTTGGGAGACGTTTGATCTTGCCAATTCCAGAACTTCTGTGCTGATACAGAAGTTGACACAGCTTAGAGGGGATGGAATTGGCGTGTCCTTTCCACATGTCCTCTGGAATTCCTTCCTGGCCGTGATGCTCACGGTGCCACTGGACACGTGGCTTCAAGGGGAAGCAAATTCAGTACATGGCAGGAGGCCTAGAGGGAGACTCACCCAACCCTCCCTTTAACCAGAAGTGGGCATTGAGGACAGAACAGAAAGTGCTGCTGTAAAACCTGGAGGTGCAGAGTGAGGGGGCTGTGTACGCGCTAGAATAACTTTGTTTCCTTATTCACGTAGTACCTGTGAGGGAGTCTTGTCCTACCAAAGGCCTTCCTTCAATACCCCGAAACCACATCAGAATCTCTTATGCAAAATTCCTAAGTCATAGGAACCAACAAAGCCAAGCACTGTGACTCATGGCTTGAGGCTGGCCATGAGGTAGAAGGAGGAATGTGTAGGACTTGGGAAAAAGATTGTGTTTAACTTGCAAAATGGAGCTTTCAACAGTGTCTCAAGCCAGGAGGCTTCTAGTTCTTACTCCCAGGTCATTAAAATATGAAAATCTCACACATACATACACAAATGTAACTATTTACACATTTTCATTTTTTGGCTGAGGCAAATGACTGTCTCCGGCAAACATTCCATTCTGTGCTTTTAATTTAGAGCCCAGTGAGAAGCCACTTTATTTTCGTAGTCCTACATTCTAGAAATTTCCCTAAGAATCCACCAGCCTTACCAGACAATTTTGAGTGCTGATCTTGACTCATAGATCATAATTAGTATTGTTAGAAGATCTCAGCTTTAATCCCATAATTAGTCTTGTCAAACTCTGAGCTGCATATTTCCCTTGATACTGCTGAGCACATTTGTTCTATTTTGTTCTTACTTTTTGGCACCCTGAGCTGTACTGTTTGTGTATACGTGGGCATGCACGTGTGCTGTCTTTCCTAAAAAAGCGAGGCCTTCTGAGAGCAGGAGCTTGTCTGTGTTAGTTTTTGCATCTGAACGCTGCTTTGGGATGTTGGGAAGCCCTGGGTAGTCTTCAGCTTCAGTGTGTTGTTGCGGGGCACTCTGGGTGGTCTTTGGTTTGAGTTAGGTTTGTAGGACAGGACAAGGCCCAGGAGCTTGTATTTTTACAAGGTTCTCCAGGTAGTTTTGGAGCCAAGCCTGAGGACCATAGTTGGAGAAATCCTAGCCTGGCTCTTTAATCTTCACATTGTTCCTTTTTTCAACCCTGGATGTAGACTGGCCAGGGAAGGCCTCAGCTGGCCAAGCAGGAGTGCTTGGAGTTGCCAACTTGGTCTAAAACTTAACCTCTGACTCTGTGTCTTTCCCCTGCAGCACGTGGATGGCAGCTTCTCTGTGAAGCCTTTAAAGCAGAAGCAGATCGTAAGTGTCAGGCAAGACATCATAACTCCTGTTGACTTAAAAGATACATGCACATGGGCACACATAAATCTGTAGGCTCTGTGGGCTGTTTTTCCTTGGCCAGTGTGACTGTGCAGGAGCCTATGGTCGTGAGGACCCCTCTTTGGCCCTAAGTGTGCATGTGCTGCACACCCGCCAGGTATCACAGTAGCTCTCATAGGCCCTGAGTCTTGTTCAGGTTAACCGTGGTGCCTGGAACAGTTTGTGCTCAGTAAATATTTGCTGGATAGGTAGAAGTAGAAGTGGGAGGGAAGACAGAAAACAGAAAAAGCTGCAGCCTCTTCTCTCATAGACTGCTGGAAACAAGGCAGTGTCTGGCAGACCTGGGTTCACTTTTCTAGGGCCTGAAAAGAAGGATGGAAAATCCTACAATAAGTAGGAGCTGTAGACTAGCACAGCTTTTCCTTGAGATCATTAATTTTATGGTTGGTACTGGGAAGCCATTCCTGGTAGCCCTCCACTTACAGGACTATGAGAATTTAGTAGGGGTCGGCTGGGGACATGGGCAGGACTGCTGGGCAGAGCAGGTTTCTGTGGCCTTCTCCTGGCATGTGTCCACCACCTGGCAGTGGAGCTGCACAGGCCTACAGGAGCCCCAGCCATCCTTGCCCCTGGACTCATTCCCTGCACCTTGGAGGTAGTGTTGGCCCAAAATGGCTGCAGAGGAGCCCTCTAATGGGGGCTGGCCAGAGCTTACCATACCTTTTCTGTTCCTCAGGTGGACCGGGTCAGCTACCTACTACAGGAGATCTATGGCATTGAGAACAAGAACAACCAGGAGACCAAGGTGTGTCCTTGTGGGAGCCCGTCTTGACTCCAGGCTGACCATCTACCCCTAGTTTCCACTGCCGCACAGAAGCGCACTCATGGGGGTGACTCGCACTAGTCTTCCTGAGGGGTGTTGGGAAAGAGCCAGTCCCCTTCCTTTCTTCCCCTGGAAGCCCTGGACCCCCAGGTGCCATCGTTTTTTCTTAATTCTTTTAAAAAAGTTAAAGTTTTTGCCTTTTTTTGTTTGCTGGCTCATTTTGCAACCTTGATCCGTGTCCTGCAGAGCAGCCTGGGACCCAGGGACCACACTCCCTCCACTTCCTGCGCTGCCTTGGGTCTTTTCCTTGCAGTCAACAGTCACCACCACCGCCCTCTGCTGGCCGCGTCCCACCTCCTTGCAGACTGGTGTGGGGACTGGCACAGCCAGGGTAGGCAGCAGAGTGTGAAGGTGGAACTTGGTTGACCTCATTTGTTTTGGAAGAGACACAATGTGAATGAGCTGCCCCTGTTGTCTTAAACCTCTCTGAAAGTCCTTCTCCAGCTGCAGTGGGCGAGTGCTGTGCCCATCCACATGCTTTATGACAGTGCCAGGCTTATTTCTCATGAAGGGCCAGATAGTAAATATTTTTGGCCTTATGGGCCGTGTGGCTTCTGTGGCATCTACTCAGAACTGCAGCTGTGGCTCCGAAGCAGCTGTAGACAACAGAGAGGTGTGGCTGTGTTTCAGTAAAACTGTATTTGCGGAAATACGTGGCAGGTAAATTTTTCTGGTGCCTGTTTAAAACGTTCACTCTCAATTCATGTGTTGGTTTGCTTTATGGAAACTTTGACTAATGGTGATATTTCTAATGAGTTAGACTTTTTTAAAAATCAATTTGAGTTTACAGGTCCGCTACCTTTTTTTTTTTGGTGGTACAGGGGATTGAACCCAGGACCTTTCCACTGAGCTACATTTCCAGCTCTTTATTTCTTACCTTGAGACAGGATCTTGCCAAGTTGCCCAGGCTGGACTCAAATTTATGATCTCCCTGCCTCAGCCTCCCCAAGCGCTAGGATTAGAGGCTTGTGTCACCAGATCCAGCTAACCAACTGTCTTCAGCATTTTCTCTTTGGGCCTGAGGCGCAGAAAGGGGCCACATTCTTGTAGTTTGGGAGGGGAACAGGTTCTCTCCTGTATAAGCCTTATGTGCAGCACAGTTCTAGCTGTGGCTCCTCAGGAGTTCTGCCTGGCTGTGTCCACGCCACTCCACCCATCTTTCTGGGCTTCCCCTTGCCATGCAAACCCCCAGGGAGTGGGGATGCTGGTGGCACAGTGGGGCATAGGAAAGCCTGTTCCAGGCAGTGTGACACTCAGCCTTTGACCCTCAGGAGGCCGTTGACCCACAGGCCCTTGTCCCCGCAGCCCTCGGACGATGAGAACAGTGACAATAGCAGCGAGTGCGTGGTGTGTCTGTCAGACCTTCGGGACACGCTGATCCTGCCCTGCCGCCACCTGTGCCTCTGCACCTCCTGTGCTGACACGCTGCGCTACCAGGCCAATAACTGCCCCATCTGCCGGCTGCGTGAGTGCACCCAGGGCCTGCGCCCGTACGGTTCTGCCCACCTGGAAGTCCTGGTTTGGGTAATCGTGGGGGCTGCTAGTCCCCTATTGGCACCCTTGGTCTTTAAGCAGTGTGATATTGCCAACAGATGATTAAAGTTTGTGCCCACATGGGCCTCACTGATAGGAGGTGTTCCAGGGTGGATGTTTGCAGTGATCTTTGAACTAGGTAGAAATTACTTTTTATTTTTTTATTTTGCTTTGTTTTTGTGTTTTTTGAGACAGGGTCTAACTGTATAGCTCAGCTGCCCCTGAACTAACTAGGTAGCTCAGGCAGGCCTCAAATTCACAGCAATCCTCCTGCTTTGGCCTCTTGAGTGCTGAGATTATAGGTGTGCACCACTACCTGGCCATGAACTGGGTAGAAATTGATCAGTGAATGAAATCTTTTTTTTTTTTTTTTTTTGGTTTTTCTCCGGTACCGGGAACCGAACTCACGACCTTGCGCTTGCCAGGCAGGCGCTTTTGCCGCTGAGCTAAGTCCCCAGCCCCAGTGAATGAAATCTTTATTTTAAAGGTTGTGCAAAAAAAGATTTTGATTAAAAATTAAAATGAGTTGAAATTGGGCCACCTGTCACTATCTTGGATTCAGGAAACTAGTAAGGTCATGGCTAGTAAGAGGCAGAGGTGGATTTGGGTGGGGTTTTGATTCATCTCAAAAGCACTAGTGTTCCTAGCCTGTCCTGACCTCCTAGGGTTCTGGGTGGTCAGAGCCTAGTGCAGGGGCCCAGGACCAGGGAGGCCTGATGGAGTGGGTGTGTAGTCTGGGCTGGGCCTTGTCCTTGACCCGTCCCTTCTCCACTGGGCCTCAGATACAGAGCTCTGTGAACCTTGGCTCCAGTCTTTAGCCTGTGTCCTTCCTGGGCTGCTCAGTCTCTGAGCATAGATGGTGTGGAGATGAGGCTGACTGTTGCAGAAGACGCGGGAGCTGTGGGGTTATGCAGTGAGTAGAGGAAGGTCTCTTGGCTGCATTGAGTGTGAGAGAGCGAAGTGAGAACAGTGAGGTGTGGTGAGGAAGCATCTCTGAGGTCCCAAGTCTTAGGGATGGGGCACCAGGTACTGCTGGCCAGTTCCACCAGGAACTGCCCACAGGAGGAGCCTAGAGTCTATGTCCTAATTTGTCCTCTCGCGGTGTTCCTGGTGTGGGATGCCAGGAAGCTCCCAGCTACCGATCTACTCTCTGGGCTCAGCGCTATAGCACTGGTGGTGTCAGCTGCCGTCACAACTGCCATCTAGCACTAGTCTGTGGTGTTGGATGGTTCATGGTGCCGCCACTTAGAAACTACACTTGCTGTCATGGCTGTGTCTCTCCCTGCTTGGTGCCGTGTATCAAGGATCCATTCTGCCCCTGACTGGAAACATGTCACTTGTCCCAGGACTGCTGCGGGTCGGAGGGTGTGATCCTGGGCTTGAGGGTCTCCAGCTGCTGGGGCTGCTTGCTAACACACATCCCTCCCTCTGCCACAGCATTCCGGGCCCTCTTGCAGATCCGGGCTGTGCGGAAGAAGCCGGGGGCCCTGTCCCCCATCTCCTTCAGCCCTGTCCTGGCCCAGAGCATGGACCACGATGAACACTCTGTAAGTTCCTCCCCTGCCTCCCTCCTCTGTCCACTAGGCAATGTGGCCCCACAGGAGCTGTGAGGTATTAGTGGGGGACTAGGCTGGGCCTGTGGTGTTGGCTGCTGAGGTGATTGTTGGTCCTGGCCAACAGAAGAGCCTGCAAGCAGGCCTGGTCTCTGCTGAGTTCACATCGGTGTTTGTCACCTTCTCCACCAAGCCAGACTAATCAGGCACCCCTGCCTCTTAGTACGTGAGACGTGTTACCATTCCTCATAAATGTGCCGAGCCTGCTGGCCTCAGCCTGGGCACTCCAGGGCCTCGAAGGGGCTTCAGCAGGTGGCCCACCAAGCCTCCCTTATGGGACCAGGTAGGTAGACCTTGCTTTAGGCAGGCACTACCCATTTCAAGAACTTGAAGGGCATACGAGAGGGAAGTAGAGAGACAGTGCTGGGCAGGGAGAGAGACCCAGACACAGAGACAGATGCAAGAGTTGGGCTGGGGGTGGGTAGGAGAGGCTGAGGTGGAAGCGGGTGGTGGGAGTGAGTAGGATGGAGACATCTGGGCAGGTCTGGGCTTTGCTCCCTGCTCCCCGCTGCCTGTGAGCGCAGGCAGTGAGGGAGCCATTGTTTGGCTCTCCGCTGAGGCCATGGGTCCAGTGGTTTTGAAGGCCTTGCCTCCACTTTAAAGAGCAGACTAAAGCCTGTGGACTGGCACACCCCAAGACAGGCCTGCTTTGGACGTCGCATTTGTAGGCCTCCTTTATCTGCGTTAGACTCGGCCTGGGTTGGCTGAGCGCCCTAGTTGCAGGTGTGATGTGATTGTTTACACAGTGTTTCTGAAAGTTGTACAAACATTTAGAAGCCGAGAAACTTCCCTTAAAACCCAGAGTTTTGGCTTCTCTGTCAAAATCTGAGATAGTGGCTAGGTGTGAAGGCACAAGCCTGTTACCGCAGGTACTTTGGAGGCTGAAGGGGAAGGATCATACAAGTTTGAGGCTGACCTGAGCAACTGAGCAAGACCCTGTCTCAAAATCAAATAAAAAGGGTTGGGGATGTAGCTCAGGGCAAAGGCTGAGTTCCCAGCACCCTTCCTCCCCAAGTCCGAGGCTGTGTTCTGGCAGCTGCAGCAGAGGCACCGTTGTGCTGGAGTGGTCTCCAACACTGAAGCCCACTCCTGGCTGCAGTGGGGCCAGCCCTGCAGTCTTGCTTACTGGGCTCGCTCAGCACAAGGGCTCCTGAACTGAGGCCCTCCCCATATGTAGCATTGGCTTTGCTCCACACCATACTTTCTGCTCATGACAACAACTTACATGTGATCTGCTACTTGAAAGAGAGGTCTAAATATTTCATTGGGATTGACTGATCCTTGGTGGTGGTGGGTTGATTGTTGTTGTTCTTTCCCCTCCCAGTTTCTGCCCTGGTTGAGGGTCAAGCGAGTCCCTTCCTGTTCATCTCTTACTCGAAGTGAACTGAGGCGCTTCCCCCAGTGCAGGAAATAGGCCCTTGTTGCGCCACCACCCAAGTGGCTCTGCCTTGCCCTGGGAGGGCCACTACCTTCCCAGGACCCCTCTCTGTCCCTGTCAGGGTTCAGAGTGCTTGCTAAGGATGTTCTTGTTTCCTGTCTGGGCCATTTCCATGTACACCCAGAAAGAGCCCATATTTGATATTTTCTGCAGGGAGCCATTGAGATAATCATGGGGTTGAATACCTATGTACCCACTCTTTTTTTTTTTTTTTTTTTTGGTACTGGGAATCAAACTCAAGACCTTGAGCTTGCCAGGCAAGTGCTGTGCCGCTGAGCTACATCCCCGGGCCTGTACCCACTCTCACACCCACCTTGGCCCAGACCTGCTACTCTGGGGTGACCTGGACCGTGGTAGTAGTGGGGGCTGGGCTTGGGTTGGATTCCATATCCTTGCTGCTGCAAGTGGAACCAGCCGTCTGGCTCCTGGGAGCCAGTGAGATGTGCAGGCAGCCTGCCCAGAGCCTTGATTCAGAACCTGGGTTTAGTGTGGTTCTGAGGTCTACATGCATGTGAAGTGTGCAGAGTGCCCGAAGGACAGCAAACCAGAGACCCTGTCCCACCACCCCAGTGCCAGCGTCGTATGAGGGGTAGTTGTTGTAAAACGTATGATTTTTATCTTGACAGTGTCCCTTTAAAAAATCAAAGTCGCACCCCGCCTCCCTGGCCAGCAAGAAACCTAAAAGGGAAACAGTAAGTGTGCTTGGTCCTACAGCTACGTTTTTGCCCCAAACCCTTATTTTTAAACCAATGACAAGTGTGGGAAGTCATTTTCACCCCAGGCTAATATGTTTGATTAACGCACTCTGTCAAATCCGCTCTCCCCAGTCCCGCCGACCCTGTCCAGGAAGGGAGTTTTGTGGAACAAGCAAAGCTCAAGGTCTGTTGGCAAAAAGCCAGTCCCCCAGGTCCTGCTGCAGGGTGACAGTGGCCTCAGGCCCTCCCCTCTTCACCAGCTTTGCCTTGCCTGTGGCTCCTCCAGTGCTCCCGTTTCCCTTTTATTTCTTGCTGGCAGTGGAGTGGATATTGAAGGTGGAACTAATGTTGCTGCTATTTTTGCAAACAGCATACCCTGTGCATGCTCACTGGTCTTGCTTCCCCTGCTCTCTGCCCTTTGGATTTTGGCTCTTGGGGTGGACTCTAGTTATCCAGCATTTTCCCTACATCCCAGGGTATAGATGTGGGGACTGGAAAGTAGGTAGCCACAAGATCCAGCCTCTCCGCAGTCTCTGCTGGCCTCGTAGACCGGCTGGAATCCCACACCACTTGCTGTAACTTAGAGAGGTGGAAATCACTGAAGAAACAGCCCAGAGCTTTTCCTTTTCAGAAGAGTGAAGGACTCAGAGCAGTTCTTCACCTCTAAATTCAAGGCAGGTAGGAGCAGCTGTGGGGTCGACAGAGGTCCAGGATGCACCCCAAGCCCAGTGCCGTCTTTAGTCCCCAGGGATGCTCCTCAATCCCTGTTCCTTCCAGAGCCTCTGTAGGGCAGGCCGGAACCTCATGTTCGGAGCACTTGTGAGCATTTTGCCTCTTTATTCGGTTTTATGAAAGGGAGATGGGGCCTGCACTGCCCTCTTCAGCGGCCCCGTGGCCGGGCTGCTGCTCCCTGGCATGCAGGCCTTTCCCGCTCCGCGCCCCCAGCCTTGTCAGTTCCATCCATTTCCAGTTAAGGCTGCAGTAGCTCTTGCCCACATTGTCCCCCTCCTCCAGGTCAGCACTCCTGAGGCCAGACTTCCCCTGGTCCAGGGCACGCGTTTGCACCCATTCTATCTCTGGCATGGCTCTGCTTTCCCTGCTCCTGAGTGCTCCCTTCTGTCACTAACCCCAACTCTCCACCCCTGCAAGGCAGGAGCAGGAGGCCAGGTAGGGGCTGGCCGAGGGCGGGTGTTGGGTGCCTCTTGCAGATGCCCCCTCACCCATCATCCTGGGCATCTGAGGGGTGGGTGCTGGAGCTGATGGATGAGGGAGCCGAGCAGGATGGCTTCATTGCCAAGACAGTCACCTTCCGAAGGAGGAGGACTTCTAAGCCCCTGGAAGGTGGAGTGGGCACAGGATGGTCAGCAGGAGAGCCTGGGGGGTAGAAGGTCCCTGGCACCTGAGCCCCGTTTTTGGCTGGCCCCTCTTCATCTGCCTTTGTCCCCCTGCAGAGCTCTGACAGCATCCCACCTGGCTATGAGCCCATCTCCCTGCTTGAAGCACTCAACGGCCTGCGGGCCGTCTCCCCGGCCATCCCTTCAGCACCCCTTTATGAGGAAATCACTTACTCGGGAGTCTCGGAGGGCCTTTCCCAGGCCAGCTGTCCACTTGCTGTAATCGACCAGGTCCTAGAAACCAGCCACCAGAGCAGGCAGCGGAACAAGTCTCCTGACAGGTGAGGCCCAGAGCATGACACCCCGTGTTGGGCAGTGCATGTGTATGGGGGTGGGGGTGTGTGAGAAGTACAAGGTGTGTCTATGGTTTGACATCATTTCCGAACACGTTTTTTTGTGATTCGGTCCAAGAAGGACTCCTAAGACCCAGTAGCAGGTCTGTTTATGGCAGCAGAGCAGAGGCAGCAGCTCTCTCCCTCCCTGTCCTGGTCCCAGCCCACACTGGTGGGACTGCTGCTCTCTCTTGGCAGACGTAGGGGCGTGTGCCATGTCTCTGCACTAGGGCCCAGTTGAGCCTTAGGGTTCCAGGAATTTGTGGCAGCTCGTCACGTATGCATGTCCCACCACACGGCCAGTGATGTCACTCAAACTCAGGCCCTAAGGAGGAAGCAGGTGCACACTGTGGGACCTGCTGAGCCTGGGGCATGGTCTTTTCCAGGCTTTGACAAGAGCATCAGTCACAGACTCCATGGGCCTCTGAGGGACCACACTCCTCAGCTGGCCAGGGGTAGTTGTGGCCCTTAAGGATTGCAGGGAGTGACTAGTCAGCCTGCTGGTTTGCCTCCCTTATGGTGGGACAGTGTTTTGTTGTATTGGCGATTGAATCCAGGACATTTATACCAAGCTACATCCCCAGCCCCTTTTTTATTTGACAGAATGTCACTGTTGCTAAGTTGCCCAGGCTAGGTAAATTGCAGTCCTCCTGCCTCAGCCTCCCAGCGTGATGGGATTACAGTCGTGCACCTCCATACCAACTATATTTTTTAGTGGAAAAATACAGGGAAGGGTCATGTTCTGTGCTACCACCGTGTTCCCTGCACTGAACCCATGTGGCAGAGCGACTCTGGAGATACAAAGAGACGTACGCCGGTCTTTCCTGCTGCTCCCACCTGTGTCTCCAGTGTTGGCGGTTTCTCTTCTCTTCTAGAAATGAGCGGATGTTGGGCCTGTGATGTGTCCCTTAGAGGACCTCCGTTGGCAGCTCTGAGTTGCTAGTCAGGGCTGCACAGTGTCTGCGGTGGCTCCAGTCCCCAGGGAGCGTCTTTGCTTGGCTCCTGGTAGACAGGCAAAGGTGGATATGCTTGGGTGGGATTGGTGCTCCTGGCCTAGCTGTCCTTCACATGCCACCCCTTCTGTCCCTAGCACTCTGCGGTCCCCGTCATCCCCCATCCACGAGGAGGATGAGGAGAAGCTCTCTGAGGACTTGGAAGCTCCTCTCCCACCAGGTGGCCCGGAGCTGGCCCTGGGGGAGAGCAGCTCCCCCGAGGTGAGACTTGACCCAGGTGAGGCCCCATCCCGCTGCCTCTGGGCCCGGCCTCGTGGCCCCCCAGTTGTGTGTCCTCAGCTGTGGGTTGGGGTGCCATGTGGTGGAGTCACAGTGAGAGCTGCAGGCGAGCCGATGTGTGAGGCTGAGTGCCCAGTAACATCTCTGTGTCCTGTAGTGGTGGCTGCCGCCATTGCCCTCTGCCTGGTCTCAGGAGCTCAGCACCAGACCTGCTGCAAAGCTCCAAGTGGCCTTTCCTCTGTCTCCTAGAGTTTCCTAACGGAAGAGGTCGATGAGCCGTCGCTGAAGCAAGGTGAGCCCCTTGACCCTCAGAAGCCCCTCTTCAGAGCCTTCCCCGAAGCTCCTTCTGCTGGGCAAGCTTTGGACACAGGCCCAAACAGCCCTGCTGCTGCTGGGGTCTCCTGACTACTCCCGCACGTTTCCTAGGAACTGTCATTGTGTTTCTGGCCTTGGGCCATCGATCCACCTGTTGGCGGAGGCCTTGTTACTGGTTGGCCTCTCATGCCTGGCCAGGACGGGACAACTTGAGCGGGGGCAAGGGTGTGTTTGCTGTTTTTGTGGGTTGCCTTGTCATCTCTCCTGGCTGAAATGAAAATGAGGATGACCGAATCTCCTCGCCCCCTCCATTAGCAGGACTGCACGGCCAGTGCGGGGTGGCCTGCGCACCCAGGAGGCTGTGGCACGTGAGGAGGTGCCTTCCCAAGCCTCCCTCCACCGTCTCAGCCTTCCTCACCAGTATCCTTGCTGGAAAGTCGAGGAAAGAAGGCTCAGAGCTGGCATCAAGGGCCACTTAAAGGAGGTGACAGAGTCATGATTTGGTCCTTGCTGGTGGCAGACCAAGTAGTATGGTGAAGGCCCAAATGTAAGCCGCTCTGTTGTGGGAACCACATCCCTCCCGGGGGAGCTCCTCTTTAGCTGTGCAGGCTGCTGGGCCAGGGTCTTCAGACACAAGAGGACCCGGGGCCTGGGCCTGGGCCGTCTCCTGGAAATGGCGCTGCACTCCACTCTCTAGATCTCACCTCTCAGGTTTCTGTTTTGGGAGCTGGGGCTGTGAGTGGAGAATTCAGAGCCTCAGCTTTCTGACCTTGAACTTGGACCCTTCCTCCACTTCTGAGTGCCTCTGCCTGGGCAGGAGCACATGTGGGGACGGGGTGCCCTGGCTTACTTGGGACCCTCTTCTGCCAAGGACACTGTCAGCAGCACTGGGAAGGGCAGGTCCCAAGCTGAGGGTACGTGTGTGGGTAGAACCAGGCTTTGTAGCTCACCATGAAGGACAGCAGGGCTACAGACCAGGCAGGGATGAGCAGGGAACAGTAACACTTTTATAATACAAACAGAAAAAGCCCACGCTTGGGGGAGAGAAAGAGAGAAAGGGAAGTGTCCACCTTTGGGGCCACTGGAGAACTGGTGGAATCAGCGTGGAGTCAGGTTGGAGCCCAGTGCCTGTCAACCACAGGGACCTGCCGGGACCTTCCCCTGCTGGTTGGTCCTGACCTTGCTCCCCTCCCCCACCTGCTGCAGGGAGCCAAGTGGCATCCATCGAGGAGGTCCTGCAGGATGGCAGCCCGGAGCACCAAGGCTGTGCCCAGTCAGGTCCTCCAGCTGACATCTACCTGCCAGGTAATGGCATGAGGGTGCCGCCTAGGCCTAAGGACGGCTTGCTCTGAAGCCTTGTGAGTGGCAGAAAGGGCTGGCTCCTTGGGAGCTCAGTTCCTGTCCCTGGCTGTTAGGAGTGTTACTGCACTCCTGCCAACCCCTAAAGCAAGACTTGGGCCAGGCCCACACCTGCTTGATGTACTCCTGCTGGCCCTGGATCTCTGGGGCAGAGCCCCTGCCTGAGGCCCCTTCCTGCTCTGCAGTGTGTTTGGCCTTGGGAAAGAAGAAGAGGCCGTGTGTAGAAGGACATCGTCGTAACACCCGCCCCCCTCCCCGCAACACACACACCTTCTAGGGCCCAGATGGGCCAGTCTGGTCCCTACTGGGATTGCTGTCTTTCATCCCTGGTCCTACAAAACTAAAGGCAGAGGCCTAGGGTCATGCTGGGTGCCCAAGGGTGCAGCCCTGGCCCAGGGGCCTGGCTTCTAAAGCCAGAAGTAGTGCTGTGCCCGCTGCATGTATCGTCCGCATGCCCTTCCCAGGCTGGCAGCTGGAGTGGGGGTAGGGAGGACAAGGCAGCACTGCGGTGTCTCTGTTGTGGAAGTCTAGCTGAGAGGAGACAGTGTGTGCACATTCTGTGTCTAGATCCCCTCCTTGTCCTAAGGTCGGTGCCTGTGCTGGGGAGTGCTCTGGCTCATCTCCCTCCTCCCTGCCTAGCACGGGTCGTGCTCTCTCAGTGTAGAGGAGTGAGCTGGTGTGAGACCCTTTCTGCCTGCTGTGCTGGGCAGCTTTGGGGCAATGAGCCCTCCTGCTCCCCTTCAGGGCTTCCCTCTGCTTTCCATCTTTGTCCTCCTCCATGTCTTCCAGTGCCTCCACAGCTGCTGAACCTTTGCCCCTGAAAGGTGGCTTCCAGCAGGCCTGGCTTGAGGAGCTGGAGGTTTTCTCCCTAGCCTAGGCAGCCTGATCTGGCTTATCTAGTGAGTTGGGTCCCGAGAGCAGTGGCTTGGCCCCAGTACATGTAGCTGCTGTCCCCAAGAGCCAGGACCTGGAGGATCAGAGAGCCTCGGGAAGACACTAGACAGTATCCCAGGGGCATCTCACACGGTTGATTCCTGGTGGCCCCACAGTAGACAGACTCTCAGCTGTCCGCCTGGGGCTTTAAGCAACAATTCAAATAGACCTCAGCTGTGTGAGGCCCTGTGTCTTCTGTGCTGTAGCACAGTCCTCACAGGGGGCATGGAAGTGACAGTCTAGCAATGAGCCGAGCAGGCCTCTGAGGGAGGTGGGCAGGCTGCCGAGGCCCTGTGCCTTGGAGAAGCTGCCCGCTGGGGTGGCTGTGACTACCAGCCTATTCTTACACAGGCTGGTCCCTGCTGTATCCTGCGGGTTGGCCAGGGGGGTTCTAGCTTAGGTCAGTGGTGGTGAACCTATGGCACGAGTGCTGCAGTGGACTATCTGTATCATTGAAAACTGGAAGGTTCGCCATCACTGGCCTAGGTGGCAGCACCGATCTGGCCAGTGCTGACCTGGTTGAGGGAGAGGCCAGCAGCCTGCGGGACTTGCAGCTTTCCGGCCAGGCTTACAGGGGTGATCTGTCCCAAGGGACACGGACCTCACTTGCCCTCAGTGTGGTTATAAGAGCAAGTCTGCTGTTCCTGCCAGACACCCAGTGGGTATGACGCACCTGTCTCAGGGCTCTGAGTTGATGGGAGCAGGTGAGGAGGGTACCAGCCGAGCATGATCGTCCCTCTGCTCCCGCCCACAGGATGGTCCACATCCATGGAGACACCCCACAGCCTCAGCACCACTGGACCCCCTTGGCCTCCGCTTGCTGGCTCCAGTCCTGATCCTGCGACCTCTGACCTGACCCCACTGTGAGAGCCTGGTCCTGCTAGCAGCATGGAGCCCTCAGCCCCCCAGACTCTGCTGAGGGACTGCCCTGGACCTCAGTGTGACCCCAGCCTCTCCTCTCTGCACGCCCTGTGTGGCACCAGCCTCTGAGGGGCCAGGTGACCCTCGATCAAAGAGCACAGTGGATTGTCCACTCTACAGACCCTCTTTTTCTATGGTTGATATATTTGTAAATGGTACAAGCTAAAGGATAGCGGCTCTTAACCCTGGGCGCTGGGCCCTGGGGTTCCCCAAAGGCCAGTGTCAATACTCAGAAAACTGGCGGAAGAGGAGTTATTGGTGGATGAATGTGCTGTTTTCACAGAATTTCTAGATGGGGGAGGGGCCCCACGTCACGGTCAATGAAGGAAACAGTGCCTGTCTGCCCACCCCGCTTTCATGTTCCTTGTGGTGGACCGGCCCTTGCTGCTACTTTTCCGTCCTGGTGTTGTTGTGGCCAGGGGTGGCCTTCCCTGGTGCTGAGGGCCCACCTGCTCTGCTCTCTGCTCTGAGCCCTTCAGTACCCAGGTATCTGCCCCAGCGCACAGCCCTTTCCCTGCACCCATATGTAGCGGTTGGTTCCCTGTGGCCTGGACCCGAGTCCTGTGCTTTCCCACTGCTTTGCTCCCTCTTCTGATGCCTCTGCAGTAGTGGCATTTCTCCACAGCTGCTGCTGCTGCTGAGAATGTGCAGCAGCTTCCTTGGTTCCTCTGTTGCCTTTTTTTTTTTTTTTTGAGATAGGGTCTTGCTATATAGTTCAGGCTGCCCCTGAACTCACTATGTAGCCCAGGCTGGCCTCTAACTTGTGGCAATCCTCCTGCCCCAGCTTTCCAAGTGCTGGCCTTACAGGTGTATGCCACCATGCCTGGCCCCTGTTGCCTTTTCTATGTATCTTTCTTTTCTCTTACTTTGTTTGAGTGGAGCCTGCTTGGGGAGAGAGGAGACCAAAAGCCCCCATCGGGGCAGACTCCCAGCTGTGATGCTGTACTTCCAGTGCAGCCTTTGAAAGAAGTGCAAGGGTTCCAGATGCTCATGCCTCCATGGGGCCTGGAGCCTGTGCTGTGTGCAGTGTCCTGGCCAGGGAGGGTGGAGGGCCCCAGCCTGGGGAGCTTCAATGCCCCGTCTCCCCTGGGAGGATGCCTGAGAGGTAGAGCCTTCCCTGGGACTGTGTGGCTCATGCACCAGCTTTCCCATCGGCACGCTAGGGGGAGAAACCTAGGGGTGGCCACCGTGTTCTTAGGTCATTGCTATGCAAAGTGCATCTTGATACCCTGCTTCCCCCTGCCTGCCATAGGTTCACACATGCACACCCCTCTCCTGGACAGTATTGGTGGCAGTACTTTGAAGGATGGGATGTAGATTAGTCCGCCCTGGACTTAACCGTGCTATCATTTGATGTACTTTGACTGGCTAGTTGTTTTTACTGTATATTTATAGTAATAAAATCACGCAGCAATATCCTGGCTGGGGCAGTGACTGTTTCTTGGTGCACAGGCAAAATGCTGAGTGGTGGGTGGTTCCTGGTAACTTGTGGCTTCTGCCTCAGTTTCCTCATGTAAGATGGCAATGACAGCATCAGTCTCCCACACTGGCAAGGGTTTCTTACCTTTTTATCTTTGTCATTGCTCTGGTTGCTGTGAAACTGGAGGAGCTGGCTGTCAGGAGTGTGCTTTGTTGCACCACCTTGATTTCAGATTCCTGCCACCAGTGTTTACTAAGCACCAGCTGTGTGTCAGGGAAAACAGACCAGGTTCAGGCTCCTGGCATTTGCATTGGAGCCAGTGAGACACACTGACCAATCTTTTAGGTAAGATCAGTGGGGTTATCAAGCAGGCTTTCTTGAGCCCTGAAAGACAAGTGCTTCAAGCAGTTAGCACAGCAGGTGCAAAGGCCAGGTGGCAGGAGTAGACTCAGTGTACCCTATTGGAGAAGAACTCATTGGCTGGATAACAGGAGCAAGGGTTGTTGGCCAATACTGAGGACCTTGTAGAATGGTGTTTTGTTTGTAAGGGATAGTTTTGGTCTTCTTTTTTTTTTTCTTTGTCTTTTTGAGACAGGGTCTCACTATGCAGTTCAGGCTGGTCTCAAACTCAAAATGATCCTCTGGCCTCAGCCTGCAGAGTGCTGGGAGTGCTAGGATTACAGGTGTGCGCCACGACGCCCGGCTGTAAGGGATAGTTTTGAAAACAATTGGGGTTTTTGTTTCGTGTTTTTGAGACAAGATCCTGCTATGTAGTCCAGACCAGCCTTGAACTCTTGATCCTTCTGCCTCAGCCTCCTGCATGCTGGGAGTACAGGTGTGCACTATCATGCCTTGCTGAGATTAATCAGGTTCTTTTGTTTGTTGAGACAGGGTCAGGGTCTTGCTGTATATTCCAGCCTGGCCTTGAACTTGTAGCAGTCCTCCTGCCTCAGCTTCCCAAGAACTGGGACCACAGGTGTGCCCTGCCATACCTGGCTTTAATTAGGTTTTTAAGGCAGAAAGCAGCCCCCAGTGGCTGTGGTGTGGGAATGGATTGGAGCAACAGGTTCAGCTATACCAAGATAGTTTGGAGGCTGGAATCCACGCTGTTCAGCCGTGGTCCCCTGCCAGCACTTCCCAGCAGGGGCCGTGCTGTGCACTAGGTTACCCACCACCTGACAGCAACCTGGTCAACAGCTGAGGCTGCCTCCATGGTCCCATTCTGACTGTGACCCTTAAGAACAGAGGAAACCAGTGTTCGGGGCCCAACCCTGCCCTTGGGAATGCTCGCCACCCCTCACCCCCAGGCCTCTCACGCAGCCCCAATGTGGGTGTCAGGTGAGGTGTGTGAGCCCGATTGGATTTCCTCCTCACTCCAGCAGACCCAGTCCCTTGATTAATGTCTGGTGTTGGGGAGGTGGGGGGCACAGGGACCTATCCCCGTTGTGACACATGGTGCTTGAACGCCCTGTCCCCTTCAGACATCCTTAGAACCCGGACTTCCCCCTGCAGCTGCCCCTAAGCCCTTTTTGGTTGGCCACAGCAGGAGAGAGGCTTCTTGTCTGGGTCTTATCCTGCAGCCTCCTGACGCCACCACAGCCCTAACGAGCTTCCAACAGATCCTGCCAATGCTGTCCCACCTTCTCACCCGAGGGCAACACTCCCTGTGCCACCCAGGAAGCCCTGACAGCGCAGCTCCCGGGGCTGAGGCCCCAGCTCAGTATCCAGCCTACAAGTGCAAATGAGGAGGGCTCCTCAGCAGAGCCCTGGGCACTGTGGGGAGGAAAGTGGCACGTGGGCCCTGCTGCTGGTGAGGTGAGGTGAGCCTTGTCCCCGTGGGGCCATGGGACCCCATTCTCCTTTGAACGGCTTTTTCCCAGTGCTGCTGAGGCCCAAGGACTTCTCCAGCAGCAAAACAGGGTAAGTACCAAAGGCCCTTCTTCCCTGTGGAACCCAGCAGCTTTCTGCTGTAGATACTGGGTGGGAGACCAGGTGAGGGCCTGTCACCAACCGCTGGGTGCCTTCGGGAAGTCAGCCTGGAGAACACGTGGGGCACTGGGCTGGCAAGTCCGCAGCCCCCAGACTCAAGTCCGGGTCCAGGGAGCCCCAGCTCCTTGCCAGCCACCCCGTCTACCAGGCTGACGTGCCCTCAGGGACTGGGGAGGGAGGGGGAGCTCTGCCAGATCCTGCTGTCCAGGGCAGGCAGAGCCGCCGATCTAGAGGCTTCCGGGGAGTAGTGTCGCCAGGTCGAGTGGCCACCCAGAGGGCACCATCACTTGTGGATGGACCCCGCAGGCAGGCGAAGTCCGTACCACGAAGGTGAGGAAATTGTTGCGATTCCTAACTGTCCTCTTGGGGCGCCAGCAACCCAAATCCAGCTTGCCTGGACCACCCCAGGCTGCAAGGTACGCACCCCGCCCGGCAGACGCCACTCGCCGCGTTGTACCTTGGGAGACATAGTTTTTGTGGGCGCCACTAATGCCTACTTCGCACACTTACTCCGCCCCTCAACTAGGTGTTAGGGTCCCCGGGCGCCAGTTCCAGGTTGCGGCAAGGATTGGAGGCGAGGAGTGCTCGTGAGCGGCTGCCCGGATTGGCGGGACCCGGGGGGGCGGGGCCGCGCATGCACATAAAGGCGGCGCCGGGGAGAGGCGGCAGTGTCAAGATGTCGACGGTGTCGGTTCCGGAGCTGAAGCAGATCAGCCGGGAAGACGCGATGCGCCTGGGACCGGGCTGGAGCCACTCGTGCCACGCCATACTGTACGCCGCCAACCCCGGGCAGCTCTTCGGCCGCATCCCGATGCGCTTCTCACTGTTGGTGAGGCCGCGGGCGGGCGTGGGCGCGGGCAGGGCGCCGCACCGCCTCCGCCGTGACCCACGCTCCCCTTGCAGATGCAGATGCGCTTCGACGGGCTGCTGGGCTTCCCCGGGGGCTTCGTGGACCGGCGTTTCTGGTCGCTGGAGGACGGACTGAACCGGGTGCTGGGCCTGGGCCTGGGCCGCCTGCGCCTCACCGAGGCCGACTACCTGAGCTCGCACCTGACGGAGGGCCCGCACCGCGAGGTGGCTCACCTGTACGCTCGGCAGCTCACGCTGGAGCAGCTGCACGCGGTGGAGATCAGTGCGGTGCACTCGCGAGACCACGGCTTGGAGGTGGGGCCGCCGCCCGGGCTCCACGCCCCGCCCCTGCCCCCGCCCTGGGGTTTGGGTCTGGCCTCCCGGAAGGCACCGATGGGTAACGCCTCCTTCCGTCCTTCCCCTTCGGAGGGTACTCCGGCCTGGCGGCGGGGCTGGGGCTCCCCCAGGGCTGTGTTCCATCTGCTTTGCTACCTGCATCGCCAATCCAGGGAACTGCGTGCAGGGAGTGGGAGGATGGGACACTGATGAAGGGGAGTCCAAAATCTCTCGGGATTCGCCAGTTTTGCAATCTAGATTTGGAGGCTCAGGGAGCATGGGGTGTGCGCGGGAGGAGCGGCACGAGGCTGCCTGTGGGACAGGCGCAGAGTGAGCTGTGCATGGGGTGAGGCCTGGAAACTTGCTTGCATTGCCTTTGGCAAGATTGGCTGCTCTTCCTCTGGCTGATATGCCCTTCCTGCCAGGGCTCTGCCTCCGTGGGGGCCTCCTGGCCTCAACTCTGGCCTCCTGCCCTGCAGGTGCTGGGCCTTGTGCGTGTCCCCCTCTACACCCAGAAGGATCGAGTCGGAGGCTTTCCCAACTTCCTGAGCAACGCCTTCGTCAGCACCGCCAAGTGCCAGCTCCTCTTTGCCCTCAAGGTACTCAACATAATGCCCCAGGAGAAGCTGGCTGAGGCGCTGGCTGCAGCCACAGAAAAGCAAAAGGCGGCCCTGGAGAAGCTGCTCCCCGCTTCCTCCTAAGGTGGTTCTTGGGGGACCTGGCTGTCACTCTCCCCTACCTGGGTCTGTCTTCAGGGACCCTGGAATTCCCAGAGTTTGTGACTGCATGGGATGAGTGGGCAGCTGCTTATCTCCATTGCCCAAAGCAATACCTAGGACCCACCTCCCATCTCAGGTTGGTCAGTGGGTGGCCCTGGCCCAATTCTTCAGGCTCAGACTTGCCTGAGTTTCACTGTGGACTAGTGGAGGCCCCAGATCACAGCACAGCTCTGGGACCACTCAGGAAAGTTTGTTCTGGTGGAGGTGGCCTTTGTCCCAGTGGACTTGTTCCTGCCTCCTTTCCAGAGTCAGCCCCAGGGCTTGGAGGAGAGCCAGCTTTGGGTAGAATATTGTACAGTTAATTCTGGTTATTGCTGGATTCAGTGCTTTTGACTTTTGTTTTTCATGGCATGGACTTCGGTGAGGCTTTAAAGTGACTTTGCCCACTGTCGCTTGGTTGCTGACAGTGACACTCTTTAGGGGACCCTGCTGTGTATGCTGTTGAAGGAGAACAACCAATAAAGTTCTTCTCTTGTACTAGGCATTCACTCTGGACTGAGCCCAGCACTGGCCTCGGGAGGTGCATCCCCAGCCCTCTTGCCTTAGAGCAGGTGTCTCCTAGTTCTCTTGAACGTAGAGACCAGGTCCAATAGGGGCCAAGTCCCCAGGGCAGGGGCACTGTACAGAGGCATCTGTGCCCTTGGCCTACCGGTGCATGCCAACCTCTGATCACCTCGTCCTGAGCATCAGGCTCCCTTTACTGACCTGATGGCTCCAGCTGCGCTGGGCTGAGCCTGCCTCTCTCCATTCTCGGCAGTCTCAGTGTGCAAAGGGCCTACAGCAGAGCCACTGTGGGACAGGAAGTCCACCATGGGAGTCCACCTCTGGGCCCACATCTCAAAAGACTTCCGGTCATGTGACTGGAAAACTGTCGTAAGGAAGGTGTTACTGCCAGTGAACTCAGGAGAGGGCCAGGGTAAGCTTTAGTGCTATTCACCCAATGCCCTGAGTCACTGAGTTAGGGTATGGGCATGGCTTTTCCATGGCCTGCTGGTATGTTGATCAATACAGCATGTCATAGAACCAGAACTGCTGATGTTAAATTTTATTTTCCAAACCAATGGCACATTTTCTAAGTTGCCCTGTCCTCCCCTGTACGTCAAACTTAAGTGTGGTACCAGCATTTAGGGGGACGTACACATATTCCCCACAACCTGTGGCTCAAGCATTCCCCAAGCTCAGGATCTTAACCATCAGGCCTACATCCTGTTCCACTGCTGACTTTACTGCCCTGGCAGGGGCCAGTCCCTGTGACTACCTCTCTGCAGGCTGCTCCCTGGGGGCCTGATCCTTAGCCCCATCTGGGGCCTGGGCTGTGGCAGCTGCCTGCTCACTGCCCTTGTCTTCCTGGCATGTAACTTCAGGGTGGATCGATCACCCAACGTCAAATTCTGAAAAAGACAAGGCCCGGTAAGAAGGGAGAGGAAGACTGAAGCAGACCCAGAGGGTACCCACTTGCATGTGCAGCTGCCTAGAGCAGGCCCCAGACTGGTGGACACTCACCGTGCCTCCTGGCTAGGACTCCCGCCACTTCTTCCCATTTAGCACCTGCAGCTTCTCCAGGCTCTGGGTCACTGAGCACAGTGCTTGCTCTGGGGACACAGAGGGACAGTGTGCTATGGCAAATCTGGGCAGCAGCAGCGAGGGAAGGGGGTGTAGGGCATGGGGAATGGAGCGGAGTGAAGAGTAGGAGAGAGGAAGGAAGAGGTGAGGATGCCCAGGAGTCTGAACTGACAGGGTGGAGCCTGCCCCACTGTGGTCATGACCCCAGCCACAGGCCAGCCTTGCCACGAAAAGCATTTCCCTGCCAAGGGGCTTCCTCTTACCACAGCCTGGTCCCTGGCTGGGAAAAAGGCCTTGCTGCCCTGCTGGAGGAGACTCACCCATCTCATGGACTCGGACTTCCAGGACTCCAGACAGCTCCAGGAGGCTCATGGCCTGCAGGGACGTATGCCAGCTTTTGGAGTCTGTAGGGCAGAAGACAGGATTTGCCTAGGTATATCCCCTCTTATCCTGAGCCCCTGGGACCAGGAGATTCTCCCCACCCAACTGTGCACGTGTGAATGACCCCTCAAAGGCCAAGGCAGGGGTGCTGTGTCACACTCCTCCCCACCTGCAGTCTCTGACAGAAACACCTGTGAGAGTATCTGCTCTCGCACTGACTGCCAACCAGGCTCAGACCCAGGAGCGAGCGAGGGTCCCTGGGCCCCAACCGGTGAGCAATCACTGGAGGTCTCGGACAGCAGCGCCTTTCTCTCTGCCACGCCTCCCACCGCTAGGGTACAGTCTTCTCTCACAGGTGAGGAAGTGGGCTTGGTTCTGTGGGTACTTTGTTGGACACGGGGAAGGGAGAGGTGACAATCACACAGCCAGAAGGAACCCCTCTACCCCTGCAGAACCAGGCTGCGGCTGTCCTTACCTGCTGGGAGTAGAGCTGGGCCCACAGCAGCTGTGCTGGGAGACTGGTCCTGCCTCATGCGGACGGACAGCTCAGTTTGACAGGCTCTGCCAAAGAAGAGACCAAGTGTCAGTGAAGCGAAAACCTTGCTGCCAAGCCCGTCAGAACTCCCAAGGGACACTGGTCCTGTCCCCGCAGCTGGCCTCCATGGGCCTGGCAAGCACTCCAGGAGGCTGTCCAGATGAGCAGGAGAGAAACCCATACTGATCTCACAGCCCACTGCTGCTGGGTCTGTCCTGAGTGAAAGGGCAGGGGGCACTGAAGGGACCATGGGCCTGAGAGAGGCAGGGGCGACAATGGCTGGTGCCAGGTGCAGCAAAGCTAGCACCCCCGCATGTGGCCCCCAGGGCTCTGCATCTGCTCACCGAAGCTGCTCCAAGATGAGAGCAGCGTCCTGGGCCAGGGCCCAGGTCTCCTGCAGCTGGGTGTGCACGGCCTTGCGTGCTCCATCCTGTTCCAGCAGGCAGCTCTCCACCACAGCCCGCAGCTCCTGCTCCTGGGACACCTGGCCACGCATGGCCTCCACCTCCTCACAGCGCTGCAGGGTGAAGAGCCAGGCTGGGTGTGGGCCGAGGCCCTGGTGGCTTGGGCAAGGTCTTCCTCACAGGGGTCTTGAGTCTGCCACTCAGTCCCTGACCCTGCCTCTCCCATCCCCACCTTTCTCAGAGCCTGCCTCTGGTGTGCTTCCTCGGTCCCATCCACAGTCCATTACTCTTGGGCCCCTACCTTTGATGGATCCCAACACCCACCGCCTCTGCCCGTGTGGCAGTGTCACACTGTGTGCGTCTGGGAGCTTCCCTTACTGGCTCTAGGTGTCAGCCCCCCTTCCCCAGCCAGGGCCTCTGGCATGCTTCCTGCCCCACTTGCTTTGTGCAGCTGGATGGCGAGTTCCTGCATCTCAGCCTCCAGCCGGTCGGCATAGGCCAGCTCCAGTGCGTCACTGGGGGGGCGGGCACTACTGTGCCAGCGCGCAATGGCTGAGGTCATCTTCCTTTTGGGCCCAAACAACCTGAGGGGACAATCAGAGAAGGATGTGCGGCTGCCGCACACACGAAGCCTCCACAGCTCACCCGGTCACACTTGTCTCCTACACAACTGCCATCTATGAGAAGGGTAGGGCTGGATCCTGAGGCAAAGGACAGAAACAGCTGCTAAAGGCCTGCCCTGCTCTAGGCTGTGGACAGCCAGGTCTGCCTACTCACAGTCCTCAAAGGGGAAGCACAGTGGGAACTGTCTCCCACCTACACAACCGTACTCGCAGAAATGTGAATCTTGGCACTCTGGAGATTATCAAAGGCTTGGCGAGTTAAGTACCATTTGTTTGGGTTAAGTTTAGGTCCCAGCCAGGCAGGGTGGTGCACAAATTAATTCCAGCTGCTCAGGAGACTGAGGCAGAAGATGGCGAATTTGAAGCCAGCCAGTACAACTTAGGAGACCCTGTCTCAAAATTAAAGACTGGATATGTTGCTCAGTAGCAGAGTGACTGCCTAGCATGTGTGAGGCCTTGGGTTCCATTCCCATTAGCAAAAAAAAAAAAAAGAAAAAGACAGATTGAAAGGCAGATGTAAATGAGCAAAAGAATAAATCCACAAATTTGAAGACATGAGCCTGAAACATGAGTGAAGAACAACAACAAAAAAAATGGACAGAGCCTAAAGGACACTTGGGGGTGTGCCGACATATACAGCAGGAATCCCAAAGGGAAAAGCGGGGAAGTGTACACATGCACTCAGTAATACTGAGACACATTAGAATCAAACTTTCAGTTGGAAGCAGCTCATACACAAGCGATCTTCATAAGATTCCCAGCAGATTTCTCACGAGAAACTTTGCAGACCAGAGTGCCAAAGGGAAAATCCATCAACCAAGAACCCTTTACCTAGCTAAACTGTCCTTCCAACGTGAGGGAGAATCAAGACATTCTCAGACAAGCAAAAGCCCATGGAGTTTGTGACCACCAGAGCTGCCCTGCAGGAAGTGCTCACGGGAGTCCTGCAGGGAGAGGAAAGGGTCCAGGCGGTAACCGGAGCCACGTGAAGGGTGAAGAGCTCGTGTGCAGGGCGCTGCTGCCCAGACGCAGTAAGGAGCGTGAGCGCACCTGGTGGCATTACCACAGTCACAAGGACTTGGGGTTAAAGGTACCAACTCTGACTGGGTCCACTCAGGACAAAAGGCTTAAATTATTTGGACTTTATGCCAAAGCATAAAATACATGCTCTTGAGAGCTTGGATATAAATTATACCACTGTATAGTATAAATTACGTTACTGAATTATTCTAATTCCTCTAGTAAAACTGGTAATTATCATTTGTAGAATATTTATGTTCTAATCATGAATAAAAGTAGTAAAATCCTAAATACAAACCACCAAAAAAATAAACTGGCAGAAACGTCCAAGGGCACTGAACATGGCAGTGTCAGCCAGGCCATCACGGGCCCCTCTGACCTCAGTGGCAAGTGGGACAGCGCAATAAAGCTCTCTCACAGCCGGGGCAGTGCTTACTACCTGTTGCAAAGCGCGGCTTTTGGTGCAAGTGAGAGGACTCACGTGATGCCGATTTCCTTCAGGTCACTCTCAGTGAGGGTCAGAAAGATGCGGAGGTCCACGTCCTGCTCCTCAAACACCTGCAAGTACTTGAGACACCCGATTTGCTCCAGCAGGGTGGCAAGGTCCTGAAGGTTAACAACAGGCAGGAGTAGGACATGGGACAAGAACATGTTTTTCTGAAGTTCTGAGCCTTGCTGGTTCCCCACGCTCCGCTCCAAGACAAGGACACGTCTGTGAGGGTAGACCCCACACTGCCCCGGGATACATGGCGGGGTGGGCGCCTAGCTACACAGCACATGCTCTTGGACATGCAATGGCCCTCCTCATGGGTGCTTGCTGCTACGAGGGATGTCAGGAAGTAGCTAACCTTACTGAAACTCTTGTGATACATCATTTTTCTCTCTTGTTCAAGAATTCTCTTTAGCTGATGGTCTAATTTCCATGTCTGCATGTGCATCTCTGCATTTATACAGCTGGTGTTTGCCGTGCTCTGCAAGTGCAAACTATGCCTCTACTCACTTTCAGAAAGTGGGCAGCTGCGTAGTGGCACACTGCTCTGTCTGCTCGATGGTGTGGCACACGTTTGTTTCTCTTCATGCTTCTGTTTCTCACTAGGATGCTTCTGCTAACTTATGTCAAATTTCCTTACTCTTGCTTGCTGTTGAACTCATCTAGTGAAACTTTCAGTTGTACTTTTCAACTCCATAATTTCTATTTTTGCACGTTTTTGGTTGCTTTGAATAGAGGAACATATTTTCAAAGCTTATTACTCCACTACTTTTCCTTAAGAAACTATCTTAAGATCACCACGACCATAAACTCCAATCAGCATGTGTTTCAGAAGCCAAGAGGGACACCTGAGTGGGGTGCACAGGCCCAAGAGAGGGGGCTGCAGGTGGAAGCCAGAGTCCACAGGTTTAGTGAGGGGCATGACAGCTCTTTTAACAAGTCAGCGGCCAATGCTCACATCTTCACATTTACTCCTGTACAGATCGGGAGATCTCAGGAAACATCCATGTTAGCGTAGATGAGACTGCTGAGCTGGCGAGTCACACCTGTGACCCTAAGTGCTCAGCCAGGCGACCCCCATGAGGAAGGGAGCTGCCTTGGCTTTGGTTGTATGTGTGCTATGTGCTGTCACAGGGTTTGCACTTCACATGCATCTTGTCGCCAACTGGAAGCAGCTCTGAAATCTGTCCTGTTTTTCTCCTCCCTAAGCTTGTGGAAGCCAAGCTGAGTATGGACAGTGAGGGGACAGACAGCTTTCCACAGAAAGGGATGGAATACTGACACTGTACATGGGCTCCTGACCATCAGGAATCATGTTTGAGCCCCAGTAGGACTGGGGATTATTTGGAGAAGTCATTACCATGCTATTCTGGCAAAGCCCCTCTCTGGCATATATGCACAGTAATGCCCCTCACATCTTGGAGGCACCATCTTTCACAAAGGGGCTTACCTGGGGTCCAGAATAGGGGGACAGCTCTGCATGAGGGACAGATGCTGGAGAACAGGCTGTCCTAGAAGTCATGCTTGGAGGCCACTGGCTGTCACTGTTGCTGTGACGACTCTTGGTCTTCAGGTAACTTTTGGTTTGTTTGCGAACGGAGCTTTTGCGAACGTGATCCGAGTCCTGCAGGAGGCGGTATGTATTGGGAGCAACTTGGTACTCACAACCCGTAAGGCCATGGCCAGACCTGCTTCCAGCCCTGTGCCTCTAGCTTTGCCCCCTGCCCCTGTGCCATCTTTTGAGGTGGGTGAGACTGGAACACCCTTCATCAAACTCCCTACTGCCACCCAAAGGCGTCCTTAGTGACTCTAGCCTGTGCCACCTGAGCTCAAGCAGTGCTCCAAGAAAACAGGGCTTATCCCAAATGACTGTCAGGTTTCTCCCGGAGCCAAGGGAGGGACAGCTGATGGGAAATCCAGGGCGAGACTTCACCTCATTGCTCTCCAAGGAGGCTTCGCTGCTGAGCCCCTGGGCCCTCGCCAGGCCCTCGATGCTGCTGCTCCGCATGACCCCAAAGCTGGCACAGAAAGCGGGCTCCTCTGGTAACGGAAGACAGGATGCCTGAGCACAGGCCTCGCTTGAGTGGACAAATGCGGGGGATTCCCCAGAGCCCTGTGAAGTCAGCTGCCACTCAGTTGCCAAGCCCTGCTACTGGCTCCGTGCTGACTTTTCCCGTCCCACCCCCGACTGGCCAGCAGCACTCGTCTCTTCTCTGACTGAAGGCTGAGAGTTGAGAACAGGCTTGGTATGGTGGACGGCTGCCAAAGCAAGCACACGGCCCCCCAAGGAGGGCAGCTGTGCAGGTTGTGAGGGCCTCCTGGCAAGGAGCTGAGCCCTGGACTTACAGTGGCTCCCCAACCTACATGGGAGACTGGACCGGACACTTCCCCTCACCTGCCCCATGGCAGACTCTGGTTTTCCTCACAACACCTGGGGCCTGCTAGACCTCTCGCCCATTCTGAGGGACCCTGGCACGAGGTGGGGCGTACCCCGGCTGCTGCTGCTGCTGCTCTCCACGTCTTGCTCATTGATGGGGGAGGTGACATCCCGGTAGCAGAGGCCTTTGCCTCCTAGAGCGTTCTCATCACTGCTGGTGAAGGTCACGTAGTCCCGTGGAGGCACCTGTTCTGTGTGCAAAATGGGGCACGTGAACATTCAAGAACACGGGAGTGGCCATCCTCTCTGAGGGTTCTTTAGGGTGAATGGGACACGGGGTCCAGGCAGGCAGGGAGCCGGGAGACCAGTTTGTGGCTGGAGTAAAGAGCCCGGTGGAGCAGTGCTCAGGAAGCTTGGCCGTTTTGAGACAATGGCTGCGGCTTACTCAAAGGAAGAGGGAAAGCGGCATGCTGGGCCTGTAGAGTCCTGACGCCAGTGGAAAACCACACACACATCCCCCAGGTCTGTCTTGGTGTCCTCTGTGGCTTTTTTAAACATGGGCACTTAGAGGTGATCAGTCTCCATTAAGTCAAGCCCAGCCACAAGATCTGGCTAAACAAGAAGGAAAAAGGCCCTGGGCTAATAATGAAAAATATCAATAAAAAAATTACATAATCCTTGAAAAAAAAAAAAAGTGGGTTTGAGAGTGGCAGTGCACACCTGTAATTCTAGCACTCTCAAAAGCTGAGGCAGGAAGACTACTCATCTGAGCAGTCTGGGCAATTTAACAAGACCTGGTCTCAAAATTCAAAAAGAAGCAGATAGGGGGATGCCGAGGATGTAGCTCAGTGTGAAGACTCTGGGTTCAATCCCCTGTACTATATTTTTTTCAAAAAAACAGGGTACCATGGCACATGCCTGTTATTCCAGCACTTGAGAAGCAGGAAAATCCCTTGAGGCCAGGAGTTCAAGGCCAGCCTGGGTAGCACGGTGAGATCCCATCACAAACAAATCCAGCACCTCCAGATGAGAGGGCACAGGCAGAGCCCAGGAATACCCTTCACACAGATGCACTGTGGTGAACGAAGTCTGAGTTCAGCTCCATTTCTGTGGTGGGAGCCTTACCCCTGCACATACAAGGCCCAGCTGCCCGTCCCACTGCAGCCTAGGGCCCAGGGAACCACGTTTGAGGGCCAGAGAATGATTCTGTTCTCAAGGCAGGCTCTTGGGGGCGGTGATACGCATAGTGTCACAGGCTCACCATAGCGGGGCCGTGGGGTCTGGCCTCCAAGCCCAATGGCTGTGATCCTGGCCAAGGCTCTTGGCCCCTCATGAATGCTGAGGCCCTTCTTCCGACAAGGCCTATGCCTCTGAGCAACAGGGTAGGATTCATCCGAAGAGCTGAGATCTTCATATTTTTCTGCCAAACAACAAAATTAAGATGGTCTGTTTAGTGATGGTCTGATTTATTAATCCTTATATTGACTGGAAAAAAGAATTTTTTTTGTACCAGGAATGGAACTCAGGACCTTGCATCTGCCAGGCAGGTGCTATGCCGCTGAGCTATCTCCCCGGGTGCCCTTAAATTAAGAAGAAAAGCATGTTCCCCAGGACTTGACTTGTGAGACGGCCACAACCGGCAGTCCACTGCTCAGGCGGCAAGAAGTGAAAAGTCAGTTATCATGGAGGATCTAAATTCTTATCCCTTTCTTTGGGTTTCTAAAAATTTTCATAATAAGCCTATATTTATAATCAAACAAATTTTGTTCTAAACTAAAGGAACGGCTAAGCCAACTGGTTCATAAAATATGGCACCATCAGTCACAACTACTTAAGCAGCTGACTGCTTAAGTCAACTCGAATGACTGCTGAGGAGCTGAACTCCACAGGCTTGCTGTGTTCACAAAGTACTTCAAACCCCTACACTAGCTCGCCCCAGCTTTACCATTTCGTAGCTTTTCAATTTTTCATAATTGGTCATAACTGTAGGCAAAAAGTCAAGAATTTATTTGTACCAGGCTCCATCTGCTTTGACTTGTAATAGACAAGGAGGCACATAAAAGAGGAATTGGTGAAATCTCCTTTTCATTCTGGGAAATGGAGCAGAGACATAAGACCACTCCACACTCTGCGCAGGAAGGGAGCCGACCATCTGGGTGGTGGCCTCGCTGGCTCAGATGTAGTCCCACAGCACAGCCCAGTGACTGCCTGGTACCCACACATGCTCTCCTCTCCTGCATATGCAAAGATCGGCACTCCCCAGAGACCTTGAACTATGCAAGCAGAAGAGGCAGGAAGTTACAGACACAAACGTGCAAAGGAAGTGAGCAAGGGAAAGGTGGCTGCCTTTACACATCCTCCACATGGTCCCAAATAAATACGCAGAGCCAGGGCTGCTCCCCTGCCTTTGACAGAGAGCCCAGGCCAAGGAGCACCCAGAATGACACAGAGGGACCCAGCTGGAATTGCAAGTCACCATTCACAACGAGGCTCTAAACAGTTTGAGTATCACCAAAAAGGGCAGCAACTACATTTATGTATCAGAAACTACAGTACATGCAAGGAAGAAGGAAACACGAATAGATGATTTTATGGAAAAAGAAATAAAGATTCAGAAGCCCCCAGGAACAAGTAAACGTAGATATCTACAGAATTCCACACCCAAATAATAGAGAATACAATTTCTTCTCAAGCACACATGGAACATTTAAACTACAGATAATTAAGAGATAAGGCAAAGCAGAACTATAAACACTGTGATTAGACAAAGCAGAATAAAACTGAACAGAATAAAAGGAAAAATTATAATTTTTTTTTTCCCCAGTACCAGGAATCGAACTCACAACCTTGTGCTTGCCAGGCAGGCGCTGTGCCGCTGAGCTAAATCCCCAGCCCCTAACTGTAACTCTTAAAGGCTCTTCTGCTGGGTGTGGTGGCACATACCTATAATACTAGCATTTGCGAAGCTGAGGCAGGAAGATCACTGTGAGGTCAAGGCTCAACTACATAGCAAAACCCTATCTCAAAAAAACAAAACAAAAAAAGCCCTTCCCCCTAGAAATTTAAAAAGAAAACCAAGCTGTGTGTGGCATCGCATACCTGTACCCCTAGCACTCAGGGAGGCTGATGCAGGATACTAAATTCAAGCCCAGCCTGGAGAACTCGGCAAGGCCATGTGTCAGAACTTAAGAAACTAAAAATAAAGGCCCAGAGATGTAGTTCAAAAAATACCTGGCTCAGAAAAAAAAAAAAAAAAAAAAAAAAGGCCGGGCATACAGCTCAGCAGCACAGTGCCTGCCTGGCAAGCTTGAGGTCCTGAGTTCAATTCCCGGTACCAAAAAAAAAAAAAAAAAAAAAAAGTGGCTATCAAAAAAAACAGGTCACACAACTTCTATTAAACAACTCTTGGATAAAAAGGAAAATATAAAAAGTACAGAATTTCTTAAAAGCAATAACAAAAGTACTATATACCAGAATTCCTGGGATACATTTAATGCAGCATTCAGCAAAAAACACAGCCTTAAACATATCAATAAAAGGCAAATGATAAAATGAAAATAAATTCCCAACCCAGAAAACTAGGAAAAAAAAAAAGTAAACCAAGGAAAAAATCAATCGAGGCACATGACTAAAAACCAGGCTACGGTTTTCTTCACTAAGTAGACAGATAATTATTTAAATTTAACACAAAAAAGAGGTCAAACACAATATATAAAGAAATAACCTTCTATAATGGTTATTTTTTCTTCTGAGTTTGTTTTACTTTTGCAGTAGCAAGGATTGAACTCAGGACCTCCACACTGAGTCACCTCCTCAGCCCTTTGTAAAATTCCGAGACGGGTCTCTTTAAGATGCCTAACTGAACCTGAGCGCCTCCCCTCGGCCTCCCAGAATGTTGGGATTACATGTGCTACCACTCCTGGCCCAGATAGCTTTTATTTTTAAACAAAAGCTGTTTTGAAGACCTCTACAAACAAGTGTGAAATCCTAGATGAAATGATTTCTTAGGAGAATATTGTTTACAAAAATTGAGCCCAGTGAAAGAAAAATTAGACCAATTCTGTAGGATGAATATGAAGATTTATCAAGGAACAATCTCATAAAAAGCTGAAGCCTAGAGGCTGTCATGGGAGAGTTCTATCAATCCTAAGACTGGGTAGTACCAATGCCACACTTACTCGAGAGCACAGACAAGGAAGAAAAACTTCCAAATTCTCTTTATGAAGTGAGTATGTCAACACCTATACCTGGATAGAACAAAAACAAGAAAATTGCAGAACAATATCTCTTGTGAATGAATAGCTATGTAAAAATACCAAAGAAAATGTTAATAAAATCCAAAACGCATTAAGAAAATAATTCACCAAGTTCGATTTATGCCAAAAGTGGGAGTTTAGTTCATTACTAGGAAATTCATCAATATATGAAGACAGCTACAGAGAAAATCCACGATCATATCCATAAATGTAGAAAAAGTCCTGGAAGAAACTTAGCAGCAGGGCTGGGGAAGCAGCTTTGTGAGAAGACACTTGCCTCATATGTACAAGGCTCTGGCTTTGATCCCCAGTAGTGGAAGGAATGGCTACCCCTATAAAAGAGCCTGTCAAGAATACAGGAATTGACAGGGGCTTTCTTAATATGATTAAAGATAATGTAAAGTTCTTAACAATAGCCTTTTACTTAATCCAGCATTTCCACTTAGATCAGCACCAAGGTAAGGATATATACTATTTCCATTGTGTTTAACCACAGATGTTAGCAACTAAACAAAGGAAGCAAGGTACAAGAGGCAGAACAGTGAGTCATCTGGACTTTCAGGTTACATGACGGTATACCTGGGAAGTCCTAAAGAATCAACAGTGAAATTACCTAAAACAATAGAGAATTCAGCAAGAGCAGAGCATGACGTTACTGTACAGAAATCAACTGCCTTCATACTCATTGACAATAAACAGTTAAAGAATATAATGGTAAAGCAGGCATGGCGACACACACCTGTAATCCCAGCTACTTGGGAGGCTGAGGCAGGAGGATCCCAAGGTGAAGCCCAGTCTGAGCAACTTAACAAGGGCTGATCTCAAGAATAAAGTAAATTTAAGCTGGGCATGGTGGTGCATGTCTGTAATTCCAGCACTCTGGAAGGCTGCATCAGGAGGATCTCAAGTTCCAGCACAGCTTGGGCAACAGGGAGACCTTGTCTCAAAAAAAAAAGAAGAAGGGACTGGAGATGTAGCTCAGTGCAAAGGCCCTGGGTGCAACCCCCGGTACTGCAAAATAATAAATACATTTTTACAAAGGGTTGGGGGTGTAGATGAGCAGCAGAGTCCTTGGTGAGGCCCTGGGTTCAATGCCCAGGTACAGACAAAAGGAAAAATATATATAATGTAGATAAAACCTCATTTACAACAGCAACAAAGATGATCAAATACTTCAGAATAAACTTAAGTTATAGGTAAAATGATATGAAGAAAAATTTAACTTTCTTGCAAATCCCAAAAGCACACTTCAGCAAAAACATGTCCCTCCCTCTTGGGTGGGACTACCAACAACTAAGGGGAGCACATTTATTTATGTACTTACTTATTTTTTGAGACAGGGTCTCGCTCTAATTCAGGCTGGCCTTGCGCTCACTTTGTAGCCCTAGCTGGCCTCAAACTCAAAGCAATCTTCCTGCCTCAGCCTCCCAAGTGCTGAGATTACTGGTGTGCACCACCACGCCTGGGAATAGCAAATTTATACATGTACTGCACTCTCAATAAAAATACCAACACACTATTCTTTTTTTGGTACCAGGAATCGAACTCAGGACCTTGCTCTTGCCAGGCAGGCGCTTATGCTGCTGAGCTATATCCCTGGCCCAACACACTATTCTTAAGGAGCTGGACAAGTTGATATTCAAGTTCATAAAGAAAAATAAATAAGCAACTGCTGGGGAAATATTGAAAACTGTAAAAGGATCAGCACTATTCAATGGTAACATCTACGAAAAAGAAAAGCCTTTGATCAGCAAGGTTTTGGTGCAGAAAGACCGGGAAAAGACCTAAGTGAAATGGAAACTCAAGTGTACAATAAAGATGGTGCCTTCAGTCCTTCGGTCCCAGGTCGAAGATGTACTTTACATAGATGATGCGGGGACAAATGTTTAACTACCTGGAAAAAGATAAAATTCGATCCATACTTCATATCACATTTTAAAAAGAGTAGAAGTCAGCGATCTAAATATAAAAACTGAAATCATACAAGTACTTGAAAAAAACGGGATAATTCTTGCACAATCAGAGCCTAGGAAAAGATCTTCTATGATTCAAAAACCAGGGCCAATAAAGATAAATACATTTGGCTATCTAAAATTAAAGCATAGTGCACTAAACACCACAGGCAAAGCCAAAAAGTATGAACTATGCCAGGAGTGGTAATAGAGATCTATAATCCCTGCACTCCGGAGGCCGAGTCAGGAGGCTCATGAGTTCAAGCACAGCCTAACCAGAAGAGACGCCTGTGACACTTCCCTCCCATACCCCGTCCTGGGGCTGCCTGGGCACACTTCCAGGGTGGTAAGGACTAGTCTCCAGGGCAAGCGTCTGACTGTCTCAGGGGCCTCAGTCTCAACTACACGATGGAGCTGGTGAGGGGAGGAAGGGAAGGTCTCCCAGTGGGCACCCAGAGGCGAACAGTGGCCACCTGGGAGGGCGGCCATCTTTCTTCCTGGATGCACCTAGTGCTCAGGACAACCCGACTCCACCAGAGGGAATGGCAGACCAGTTACCTGGACTCCGGTAGAGGTTCTTGGGCAGAGCAGGTGAGTGACTGTCTATCAATGCCACAATCTTCATGTGTCCGTACTGCTTGGCCAGCATCCTGGCTGTGGCTCCACTGTGGTCTCTTGTGTCTACTTCGACTCCCTGGGAAGGCCCATGACAGAAGAGTTAGGAAGCCCCCTTCCACAGCCCTGGTGCTTCCCGGTCAGCTGGACTGGGAGGAGAACGGGCTTTCCCCCACGTGGGAACCACATCACAGGGAGGAAGCATGCAGGCCTGCTTGACGGAGTTTTGCTCTAACTCAGTTCTTAATGACAGGATTGGCTCTGCAGCCACATCACCAAAAGCAGTCATCAAGCCTGAGCAACTATCCACGCAAATGCTCCCTGCCAGGCATCTTGCAGCACAAGGACCCCTCGCTACCTCCACGCCCAACCACGCCTGGCTCCCTCCTCTACACGGGGATGTGTTGGCTCACCAGAAAGACAGTTCTGAGACCTTCCCCAGAATGCAGGTGCCATTTTCTGAAACAGCGTAGCACCTTTTATCCAAAGCTGTAAAATGCACTTACAGTCTTTAGGCACAATTCCCTGTCTGTGGAAATCTATGCTAAAGCAGAACCCCTAAATACAGACAAAGCTTTCATGCACACAGTTGCTGAGCACAACATATCTGCAACAAAAACCTAGAGAAGATATAAATGACCTGTGGACGGGCAGTCGGCCACGCTACTGGCCTAAGTGATGGCACTCACAGTTAGTATAGCCAAATTTAAAAATGATCATGATTTAAAAGAAAAAAGAAAAACTACAGTATATACACCACAGTTGCAGCCAAACAGGACAAAACAAGAAGTACACAGAAGCCAGGCTTGGTGGCGCATATTTGTAATCCCAGCACTCTGGGAGGCTGAGGCAGAAGGATTGCAAGTTTAAGCCCAGCCTTGGCAACTTACTCATTTTGTGATACTCTGACTCAAAATAATAAAAAATGGCTGGGGATGTAGCTCACTGTAGAGGCGAAGGGCTCAATTCTCAGTACCAGGGTGGTGGTGGGGTACACACACAGAAAGCAATATCGGAAGGAAACATGCCCAAAACACTAACATTATTTTTAAGCAGTAAGATGATGGATATTTTTTCCAGTTTTTCTCACCTTCTATATTTTCTAAATGTACTAGCATAAGCCTGTTTACTTTTGAAACTGGAAAAGTCCAATACGGCTTTTACTTTAAAAGCTGCAGCCACACACACCACATCTGATGGTGGCAAGCACTACCCCAAATCTCCAGAGGGTGAATCAGGAGGAGGAACCTCAGTTTAGAACATTAAATGTCTCAAACCCCGTAACCCAGCCAATTGCACTTCTAGGAATTTAGTCTGAGGGAATAATTAAGGCCACACGCAGACCATTTAGGATTTTCACTGTAGCATTCAGCATGGTAACTAGAAAGAACCTACAAGCGGGCAGCGGGCAGGGAACTGAGTCCTAGCTAACGCTCAAGCTCTTCCCTCCCGCCCATTCACACAAGAAAGCGGGCATGTGCGCGCGCGTGCATGCGTGTGCGTGTGCGCGCGCAGCAAGTGCAGTTATACACGAATCACTGAGGAAAAAACAGGTTACAAAACACCTAGGTTGTTTCTACATTTTGGCTATTATAAATACTACTGCTGTGGACATTCACATACAAGATTCTGTGAGGACATAGCTTTTTGAGTCTTACAGACATGATGGGTCCTATGGTAACTCTAGGTGAAACTGAGAAATCTCCACTGTTTTCCAAAGAGTGGGCCATTTTACTTTCCCATCAGCTGTGTGTGAGGGTTCCAATTTCTCTACATCCTCAATAACCCTTGACATTGTCTTTTTACTTATTTATTTACAGTACTGGGCTTGAACCCAAGGAATGCTGAGTTACATCCCCAGCCCTTTTTACTTTAATTTTTTTTTTTGGTACTAGGAATTGAACTCAAGACCTTGTGCTTGGCAGGTAGGCACTGGTACCACTGAGCTATATCCCTGGCCCAGCCCTTTTTATTTTTGAGATCAAATTGCACTAAGTCACCAGGCTGTTCTTGAATTTGCAGTCTTCCTCACCAACACCTGCCCTCTGCCCAAGCTGGGATTACAGGGGGGAACCACTGTGCCTGGCAATTTTTAAATTTCAGGTCATATTTTACTCACCACGGTACCCTTAGTGCCCGGGAACCACAACACTTGGCAGCAATAGATTTTCAAAGAAAATGTACTGAATAAATGAATGAAGAGCAGAATGTGTAAGAACGTGTGAGAGAAAATTCTGTTACAGTTCATATGTCCGTGACATGATACCTCATTTATTGTGACTACATTATAAGCTACTCAGTAGGGTCACTTACATGATTCAGAAAATACTGCACGATTATCTCATGGCCAGCAGCAGCGGCTTCCATCAAAGGAGTAAATCCATATACGGGCTCCCTGCAAGACAGGCCGCAGTCAGGGGATTAGCAGAGACAAATTCTGCCATGCAACAGCTCCCCTACCAAAGACAGGCCTAGCCAAGACCCCTAAGTGTAGGGTGCAGTGCTCACACCTGTGCCCATCTGTGCTCGTTTACTCTCTCCTCTGGGTCCATCGCCAGTGCTGGCCTTCTCCCCTCCTCCTTCATGTCCATCCCCACCTGCCTCTCCTAAATCTCCACTTTAATCATACTCAAAAGCAGCTACTATTCATCATTTCTAACAGAAAGCTAATGTATCCTACTTATCTACCCAAATCCCTTCAAGTCTGACACCCCTGTGAACCAGTCCCTAGAAGTACACATGCTAATAATCCCACCTGTCCTCACTGTGCATAGCACCTGCCGCATATTTTTTAAGCACAGTCATCAACACCCTAGTGCTGTCCTCAAAGTGCTCCCTATAACCTGCTTGTCTTCTGCTGGTCTGGGAGCCACAAACCATGCTGAATACTGCACCTCATCCATTCTAAGACACACACTGGACTGTGTGTGTGTGTGTGTGTGTGTGTGTGTGTGTGTGTGTGCGCGCACGCGCGCGCACACACATGCCTATAATCCCAGTACTCAGAAGGCTGAGGCAGGAGGAGCACTGCAAGTTCAAGGCCAGCCTGGACTACAAAGTGAACTCAAGCCAGCCTCAACTGCATAGCAAAACCCTGTCTCAAAAAGACAAAAAAAAAAAAGAAAAAAAAAAAGAAAAAAAAAGACACTGCACATTTTAACACCTGAAGTTATAGTGTGTCTAAAAATCAATGAGCAAGTTGAATTTTAATTAGCATCATTTTTTTAAAGAATCATTCAAAATTATGCTATGTGTTAAAAGGAACAACAGCAGAGCCCTGCATACAGCATCAGTGGAAGCTGATCAAAACATGTCATCACACTCTTTAGATCACGGGTATGTGGCCTGTTAGGAACCGGGGCTCACAGCAGGTAGGCAGGCTGGCAGGGGAAGCTTGTCTGTATTTACAGCCACTGGGCATCACTCACATCACTGCCCATCGGATCAGTGGTGGCATTAGTTTCTCATGGGAATGCAAACCCTGATGTGACCTGCACATGAGAGGGATCTAGGTTTTGTGCTGCTTTGAATCATTCCAAAGCCATTACCCACCTCTCACCCATCTGTGGGAAAACTGTCTTCCACAAAACTGGTCCCTGGTGCCAAAAAGGTTGGGGACCAATGCTTCAGAAAACAAACCACTTCTAGCTTATAAAACATAATGGTTTTCACAGCTTCACTTTCCCTGACATATACAGCAGGCAAGAAAGGAAAGAGAATTAGCGTTTAATATATGTCATTTAAATGCCATTCTCTACATTATGCCCCTGGCATATGACATAACATGTATCGTGGTACCTTGGTTTATGAATGCTTTTGTTTGCAAACAACTTGGTTTGCAAACAAAAGCATTTGGCAAAAGTTTGCTTTTGTTTGCAAATTACATTGGGTGACGAACACAAATGTGACCATCTTTTCCAAAATTGTGCAACAAATTAAGTTCGTGAACTGAAGTACCACTGCAACTCTTTTTTCTTCTTTTGCTGTACAGAAGATTGAACTAAGGCCTTCACACTGACCTACATTTTCAGCCCCTTTGAAAAATTCTCTTAAGACAGGGTCCCTATGTTGTTATGTTTTTCAGGCTGGGCTCGAATTTGTAATCCTCCTGCCTTAGCATCCTAGGTGGCTGGGATTATAGGACTGCACCACCACACCTGGCTATAACATGTAATTCTTTCAACAACACTCTGACATAGGTCTTGCTATCCCATTTTCAGATGAAGACAATGAACCTCAGAGCCCTAGAAAGATGCATTAGATGTCCTGACAGGTATGTAGACAGTTTCACACCTGGGCAGGCCTGTCCACTACACCCCTTCTTCTTCACCTCTCATACCAAGGCGGGGTAGTGCTGACCTCTGGCTAGTGGCCTCTATGGCCATCCTCCCTAGAGTCAGACAAGACTTAGCCCCCTCCTGTGGCAATCACCTCACATTGGCATTCGCCCCACTGTCCAGGAGGAATTTGACCATCTGCTGGTGCCCGGCACTGGTGCAGTGGAAGAGGGCAGTCCACCCTTGAATGTCTTTCATCTCGAGCTCTGCTCCTTGCTTCAAGAGAACACAGAGCACAGGTTATACAGCCCATCTCTCCTGTGTGAGCAGATGGGCAGGCAGCGCCCTCCAGGCCCTCAGCTGAAGAATTGGAAGTGATGATGTGCTCACACACACACCCGGCCTGCAGCGCCTCACGTCTTGTCAGGGCGGCCAGGGAGCCCCTCGGGTTGCTGGGCCTTTGCCCCCTCGTAGCTCACCTGGAGGAGAAAGTAGGCGATGCTCTCGTTGCCACAGCTGGAGGCCAGCATCAGTGGAGTCTGCCCTTCGGGGGTCGGCACATTCACACTCACCCCTGCCTCGAGCAGCAGGTGCACGATGGTATCGTGTCCAATGTAGGAGGCATACATCAGCGGGGTCCAGCCACCTCCATTCTTCTTATTCAAATCTAACTCTCTCCTAAACAAACGCAAGATACACTAGACGCGCCCCACTGTCTCTCGTGGGGTTCACCAGAGCTGTTGGCGAGGCCAGGCCAGGCCGAAGGAGCTGCCATTCCAGATGTCCCTGGGGTCAGGGGAAGGCAAGTAGGGAAATGCTTCTACTTGCCTGGACACCTACCTTTAAAAAGTCCTTGTTTCTCTTCTCTAGTTTCATATTCTCAGCTGCCCCTTCTCCTAGCCCAAGACCATCAATCCCATTCTTTTGTGCTACCAGCTAGACACATGCTGCTCCGCGAGGGGACATTCGGCAAGGTTGGGGGTCATTTTGGGTTATCATGACTGGGCAAAGAGCCACTGGCATGAAGCAGGTGGAGGGAGGAGCCTGTGACATGCAGTATACAAGATGCCCCTGGGCAAAGACTGAGCTGGCCTGGTTTGTCAGCAGATCCAAGGCTGAGACTCCTTGACCATCTACCACTGAATAAGTGTCCAGTGCGTCAGTATAGAGCTGGCTGCAAAGGGACAACAAGGCAACAATGAAGCAGAGAGGGGCATCAAGGAAAGAAAGAGGGCCTCGGACCACGGACAAGAGCCACTGCCACTGACTTCTTTAGTGCATACTCTAGAAACAGCAAATCCTACTTTTTCTCACTGATTTCCATTAAAATGCTGGAAATGCATTTTCAAACAGGAAAAAAATGCGGGCTTCCTGACTCAGACTTTAGAATTGGGGTACAGGAGTCACATTTTAAGATAACACCCATTCCCAGGAGCAGATGCACAGTGAAGGTCCTACCGACCTTTGCCCTTCCACAATTTGGGCTTCCAGTGCCAGGAACAACAATCATCCACATAACTTGTGCCTCTCCGAGGATTCCCACACTAAGCCACACCAGGCAATTACTCGCCGTTCACTAGCACCTTGCACCCTCTGGGATGCACGCGCAGGCAGCCACCCTGACGGGTCCTGATCACACGAATGCAATGGCAGCCCTGCCAAGCGGCATATGGAGGGGCTTGTGCAGATGGCTTGAATGATCCCATTCATCCTTGCACTCCCATCCCTTTTGAGCAGCAATTTCCAGAGACAGGAAGGGGCCAGCTCCTGGGCAAAACACTGTTTGTCAAGCCTTATTTCCACCCAGAGAAGCCTCCTTCTCAACTAGTACGAATCCCATCAGAACACAAACCCTGCTCCTCTTGTCTTCCGTGGAGCTATTCTGGGCTATGTGTTTCACAGGACACTCAAAGACCTCCGAGCCTGGGATTTCCAGAAGAGAATTATAACAGGGGTCTTATGACCCTTCAAGGAGACACGAGACTGCATACCCAACTGGCTATCCTGGTAAGCGAGTACTACAGACTGCTCGGACCAGACACTGCTGTTCCCTTGGCTAGAGACTTATGAATGATGGCAACAAGCTGGGAACTGGAGACCTAGTGCTTTAAGGAGGCTTTGCTGTGGCTCACCAGGAACTAGAGAAGGCATCAGAGATGTGGACAGATATGTTACCAAATAAGAAATGGTAAACAGTAAGTGTAAAGTAGGGTGAAACACGAGGGGCTGGACACAAAGTCGGCTCCCAAAATTACTGTAAGAATCACACTATACTCTAAGTAGAATATGGCCCAGGGCCCTGCCATGGCTTTTTGTGGTACTGGGACTAAATACTAGTATACAGATTAGTAACTCTGGCAGGTAGACCATGAGGTCAGGAGGTTACCCTCTAAGAAGAGCCAAAAGCCTAACATCTCTCTTCTGTGCAGAAGCTGAGGGGAGATGCGGTCCCAGGTGATAAGAATGAACTCTGGGCAAAGAAGGCGAAAGGGCACTGTTTTCTCTCTTCACTACTGGTTGAGGGGTCTGCAGTCAGTAAATGCCTAAAATTACACTGGTTAAAGGATGAATTAATGTTTATAAGCCTATGATAAAAAGAGAACCTATGATAAAGTTTGTATTATCTAGGGCCTGGAGATTGAACTCAGTGGTACAGTACTGGCCTAGCATGTGTGAGGCCCTGGGTTCCATTCCCAGAACTGCAGGGAAAAAAGATCTTCTGCCTTGAGATCAAAAGTGTTTTGGTTTTTTTTTTTGGTGTGTTGCGAGGGCTACATATTGTACACAGGACTTTGCACATGCTAGGCAAGTGCTGTTGCTGAGCAACATCCCCAACCTTTTTATTGTTGATACGAGGTCTCGGTATGTAGCCCATGTGGACTAGATAGAACTTGTGATCCTCCTGCCTCAGTCTCCAGAGTAGCAGGGATTACAGTCATGTGCCATCACACCCAGCAAAACTGGCTTCTTTGTTCTTATGTTCTCAGCATAAGTCTCCACTGAGAATGGGTCCAACTAGCAGGGCTGGCCCATCTCATGAGTATCAGATGTCTACAACTATGTGCAAGGCCTGTCTCATGGGCTCTGAAGCCATGGAGGTGTTACTAAAAATGTGAGGCAAAGGGACGCTCCCCAGGACCTCTTACCGCTGCACACATTCCTTCACCACCTCATATTGGCCAATGGAAGCTGCTGTGTGAAGATCCAGGGGGACATCCAGCTCCTCCCGGCTGACCTGCGTCCCCAGCCCGTGCCACATGGACAAACTGCAGTTCAGGAGCTCCGGCTCGCTGGCTTCATCGCTGAGCTCAGACATGGCTGCAGAGGAAGGCCCAGGGATTAGGTCTTCCTGGCTGTTCCAGGAAATGAAATGGTTGATCCTACTCCTACAGATCTCAGATGTACTATGGAAGAAGCTCCTCCAAAGGCTGCCTATTGTATAACCTGTTTACAGGACATTCTAGGAAAGATAAACTGAAGTTGGAAGCCAGGTCAGTAGTACCAAAAGGGGCAGGGAGACCCCAAAGCAAGGAGCAAGAGAGAATTTAAGGAACACTGGATGTACTATGTACCCTTTGATGGTGGATATATGACTTTATACATTTGTTAAAACTCACAGACTTGAACCCCCAAATGAATTCTACTGTAAGTAAAAAATATAAATTTTTTCCATAAAATGGAAATAAAGTTCCTAGCACAGAAACTAGAATGCAATCTGTAATGCTCAGAAAATACTAATTGTGCAAGAATCTACCTATGCATCCCCTGAAAGTGAAAAAGATAAGAAGGGAAATACGACAGGCTGGTAAACTAGTGGGTAGACAAGATCCCCAAGATGTGACACCAGTAATGACACACCAGGATGCGAGGTCTGTGGTTATGAGTGCCTCTTCCTGGGACTACTACCTGACCCAAGGCCAACTCATTAGCTTCTTAATAGAACCCTGAGCTCAGGAGTGACAGGAAGCAAGTGTACAAGAGGAAGAGAAGAACGGTCCGTATCAAGTTCTATCATCTGAAGAAACCATGACAGTTCATAGAGTTCCTCTGGACCTCAGTTTCTACTAAAGAATACTTCCAAGCATCCTAACATTCTTCCAAGTGTTGGTGACAGCCAGGATAGCCAAACAAACCAGCCACCAATCTGGGACTTTGCAGCCATTGGTGAAATGGGTCAGGTGTGACAAGGCAGAAAGTAACAAGCCCTGAAACCACCGGTTGGTGCTTCTCTTCACACCTGCCACCCTGAGATCACGCAGCATCCTTACTTTGCAGGTGAGAATCCTTATCCTCAACAGTCCTGGCCAACAGAGCCTGGATAAGAATCCGCATAAGCTTCCAACAGATCCTCCAGCCTTGAGTGTTTCTTCTACTTCAAAAGCCTTCTCTCTCCATTCATTGGACGCTCGCACCCGACATCCCCAAAGTACTGAGCGCCGACGGACAATCAGAAACAGAACCAGCCTCCAGAAAACTATGGGGGGAGAACTCACATGCCACGAGTCCACAGATCTACTATAATTTATCACCGTGCCTATGACAAACATTCTCCAAGGATGCAAGAAACATTCGTGCGCATATTCGTACACACGGAGAAAGTGTCGTCTGCGCCTCTCTTCCAGAACTTCAGGAAGTAGCACTGGGGAACGGGTTCATTTAAGTTTTTCCCCCCAGTGCTGAGAATGGAACCGCACGCCAGGCACGCGCTCTGCCTCTGAGCCACACCCCCAGCCCCGGACCTTCTAATTTTCACTCTCCCTTTCTGTCCTGTTCCTTTGCTTTTACAGTAGAAAAATGTAAGTAAACACAAATAATGCTGGTGGCGGCGGTCGCGCCTAAGAGAGGAGGCCGGTCAAACAGGGATGCCCCTGCCACCTCCCGGGCGGCACCCTACAGCCGCCCGCAGTCCCGAGCCTCACAGTCCCGCCCGGCCGCCACAGGGCGCAGCCCCGCGTCTCCAAACCCCGACACACCAGTGCTGCACCGCAGGAGCATCAGGTGCCGACGCCTGGCGGGGCCGGCACGCCCCGGGCCTACCTGCGCCGGCCTCAGCCTTGAGCCGCCCTCTGGCCAACGCTGCCGCCGCCCAACACCTTTGCCAGTCACCGCCCCAGTACCAGGCCCGCGACTCGGCCCTCCCCGGAAGTAAGCCGCAGGAGCGCGCGGAGCACACCGGGATGCTACCCACGCAATGGAATTGGTCCGTAGGGCGCCTGGGTCTTCCAGTCACCTCGCCCAGCTGGCCGCTGACACCTGCGACAACCAATGAGTGGGCAGCTCGCACAGACACACGCCCCCCCTGGGGTGGGGGGAGCCAATCCTGATGCAGAAAGCAGGACGCGCCCATCTCGGAAGACGCTGGAGAGAGCATTGAAGGGAGGGTTCTGGGGACTAAAGGGACCGCGGGACGGTCTGGAGTCTCTTGGCCGGGTTGGAGCCGCGGGAGGGCAGACGGAGGTGGACGCTGACCGAGGCTAGTGGTGCTGGGCCTGCACGACGGCGGAGATGGACATGAGGAGCGGGACGGGACGTGGGATGGGCCTGGGGAATAACAGGCATTCCTCCTTCCCAGGGCTGGAATTGAAAGGCTAGACCGGAGGTCCGGTGGCATCTAGTTGCCTTGGCAACCGGCGCCTCGCGGCGGTCTGGGCGGGGTTAACGGGCAGTAGGAGTGGGGAGATCTGAGTGGGACTCAGAGGTGACGCGGAGCGAGCGCTTTAGCGCCGTAAGAGAACCGTCACGGTGGAGTTGGTTTTCATCGCAGAGTTTCCACCTCACCCTGTGTGCTCTGCAGAGCTCCTCAGATGATTGTGCACAAAGAGAGTATGCCGTGAGCCTGGGCTCCCATGGCATCGAAACGCAAAGGCGCGGAGCCCTCCCTGGACTCCCCCTGGGATGCCATCCTCCAGGCTGCCAAAGCCCAGCTCCCATCCCTGGACTCCGACTCATCCTTGGTGAGCAAGAGCTTTCCCTGCAGGCCCTGAGTGCCCTTTCTCCCCATGATGAGCGTGACGCCAGCCAGGGACAGCTTTGGAGCACTCCTCTCCGCAGACCTCCCTCCAATCCATGGAGTTTGTTTTCCTTTTACTTTCAATCTTCTGGCCCTACAGGTGTTTTCTAGTTCCCATTTCCTTCTTCATCCTTCCTTCTGCACTTGTCAGTAATCCCTGAAAACGTGTTGGTGCTCCGCATCCACCAGGTCAGTAGTGGTTCTGGACCCCACCTGTAAGCCAGGTGAGCTCTGCTGCTGTGTTCTTGGAATTTTTTGGTCTATCTACCGCCCCCAGGCCTGCTGCGCTGATCTTGATGAGGCCAGCACCACTACTCGGAGCGGTGACCATTCCAGTGCATTGTGATAAGCCCTTGGGGGGTTTCTGCAGTTGTGGTTTGAGGCACCTGAGGTGGCCCCTGAGGATGCTTAACACCGGTAACCCACGTGCCTATGCACGGTGATCCCTCACCCCATGTGACAGTACAGGGGCTCTCAGCACACACTCTGGCGCTTGGCACTTTCAGCAAAGGCTAGGGTTTTAGAAGGGGCCACACTGGGGTTATATCGGGGCGAATACAAATGTGACAAGAGCTGTGGGTGCTCAGGGCTTATCTGGGCACAAGGTCAAGCAGCGGGTAAGGCAATCCCAGTGCCTCAGTGTACAGAGCACTTGCACACCTTCTGATGTCCTTGCAAGGTGGAGGATGAATATAAGGCTCCTTTCTTTAGAGACAGCACACCAAGGCTGTACATCACAGCACGTCGTTAGATGGTGGCTCAAGGTAGGCAGGGGGCTAGACTCTGGTCTCAGTCACCCCCACCTCTGAAGGCCCTTATTCAGCACTAGGCATTAATGGAGCACCTGCTGTGTGTGAGGTCTGGGATGTGGCGGGCACTTACAAACAGGGAGGTCTGGGTCTCAGCCCACGAGGTTGTACTGCTAATTGATTCATGTCTGAATCAGTGGCCGGAAGCAGTGGAGGGCAGAGATCTCTCTCAGTGCCCCTGGGTAGCCGGGCTGGAGACTCAAGTGCAGCCATATCACCCAAAGCCCCCTTGTCTGCCCACAGTCAGACTTCGAGACCGAGGAGCCATTCATCTTCCAGCGGAACCAACCTGTCCTGATTCCAGACCTGGCCGAGGAGCTGGCTGAAGACCCTGGTAGTTGTGACAAATCTGAGACCTGGGTCCCTGGAGCTAAAAGGCCTTCGCCTGAGGTCTGTAGGACACAGGCTAAGGGATCTCATTAAGCCTGGCACCTTGCTGGCAGAAGGGAGTATGTGTCTGTCCACAGCACTCAGGAGACTCTAAACATAGGGGTCTGTAGTGCCTAAAACCCTGGGTCTGGTGTCTGCTACACTCAGTCCTTCCTCCTTCAGGGACAAACCAGAGTATTCAGGGGCCCAAGCGCGTAGCATGGGCGTCTCTGTCCCCTAGGATGCCCAGCACACTTGCTTCTGTCTGATTTTGCCCTCCTCTGCCCTTCGTCTAGTCCCCTCCTTTCCTGTTGTCTACTAGGATACTGCACTGTGTGGCCATGGTCACAACTGCCTGTCATAATGTCTGCATAACCTGCCTGGCTTTACAGCCCCCTGGCTCGGAGCCTGAAAAGTAAACAGAAGCTTCCTAGACGTTCATTCAACTATGAAAGGCTCCAGAGGGAAGAAGGTCCTCCATTAATCCCTGAGCAGACATGCAGGCTGCTACCCAGGACACGATTAGGAAAGGCTGCAGCACACTCCCAGGCCTCCTAGTCATAGTAATTGCCAACATCAGACCCAGTTTCTATCGCTGTCTCCCCACTTCCCAGTACCCTGGGTAAGACCGAGAACTGTATCTAAACTTAATGACTTGATACTGAAAATTAATTGCTTCCTTTATAAATAGAACCCATCCACCAGCTATCATCCCTGGGCAACCCCAGTGAGTCAGCTTTGATGTGGTTGTGGTTAAATGTCTTAGTTTCCAATGAACACACTGTAAATGCCCTCACTTCCATAATGGGGGTGGGTAGGGGGGAGCAGCTTCAGGAGCCCTGGGCTCTGGGTTGACCCTCAGCTCAATTCTGCCCAGCATCATTAACCAGGTGAATGGGGTTCACAATAGCTTAACCAAATCATGTGATCCATAGCACCTGCTATAACAGCTGTGCCTAGGAGCAGGTCTGAAAAAAACCCAAACAGGAGAAATTTCCAGGGCAGCCAGGACACTGGGTTAGTTCAGGTGACAGTTTTCGTGTGAGTGACTGTTTTGAGTCTTTGTCACGTCTAGAGTTACTTTGGCAACTCTTCTGGACATTTTTTTAAAATGTGGGCAGGAGGAAGGGGAATAAGGAGTGACTGCCGGTGGACGTAGGGTTTCTGCTGGGGGAAATGGAAGAGTTTTAGAAATTGTAGGAATGGCTGTGAAACTGTATTTAAAATGGTTTAAATGGAAAATTGTATGTTGAATCTGTATTGTGCCATGAAAAACAATGCCCTGAGCTGTGTTTTTGTGGATGCTAGCAGAGGATGCATGTTATCTCAACAGCCAGTTGTGGAGGCTATGGGACTCACTGCAGAACCCGGGAATGAACAGAACGCAAGGACAAAGGAGTGCGCCTCTTGGGAAGGAAGGAGCCCTGGCCAGCCACTCAAGAGCTGTGCTGAGACCCGAATTCTTCCTTGGACAGAGGAGGCGTGGCAGGAAGGTGAACTTGGGAGCCTATCCTTCAACACCAAAGGATTCCAGGATCCTCCCTGGGGTCTGCAGGGAGAAGCTACTCTTGCCTCTGAAGGACAGCCGAAGACAGAGCCCTTGGGTGCTGCCTGGCAAGACTGTGCAAATCGCAGAGCCCTCCGCCAGGAGAGGCGGAAGATGATAGAGAAGGATGTGCTCCAGAAAGTAACCTGGGGTCCCCAGGGTGCAGCCTGCGGTGACCAAGGCCAGGCTGCAGAGTCAGGTCCCAGGCTAGCAGCCCACTTGAAGGGGCCGTGGGAAGGCCAGCCTGTACTCTCGCTCCAGGTAGGTGTCTCCACTGCCCAGCTCCTGCTCAGACCTGTCGCTTGCAGCATGGCCGCCTCCCAGCGTGCTGAGGCTAGAACCAGCGGGCTCACCTCATAGTGAGGCTAGAACCAGTGGACTTGAGACTCCTCAGTCCACCAACCAGCAGGCAGCCTGCCTGCCTCAGAGGGCGGGTGATCTGGGCCAGGAGCTCACCTCAGGGGAGGGTTAATGAGAACACAGAAGAGCAGGCAGACTAAGCCTTCTTTAGAGAGAAAAAAAAAGAATGCTGATCCCAAGGGGATGCTTCTAAATACCTATGGCCACATACAAAGTATAGAGCCAGGCACTGTCAAAACGATACTCTACAAGTGGAAGCCCTCATTCTCATACAACAGAAGCACTTGTTCAAGTTGGAGTCAGCACATGAATGAGGGAACCAGCAAGGTGACGAAGTCAGTTTAGCAGAATTAGGAAACTAGGTGTGGTGGTGTATACCTGTAATCCAGCACCCTGGGAGGCTGAAGCAGGAGGGTTGTAAATTAGAGCCCAGTTTAGCAACTTTAGTGAGATCTTGTCTCAAAATAAAAAAAAAGGGCTGGAGCTAGAGCTCAGTGAAAAGGTCCTGGGTCCAGTCCCCAATACCAGAAAAGGGAGGCAGGCTAGGAGAGATGGAGTTTGTGAAACAAAACAAGAAGGAAATGCTAAGATGATTGCAGAGTAGGGAGTCCGTAGTCAGTATCCTAGAGTGACACAAGGGTGACCTTTGGGGTTATCTTGTCCAGCGAACAGGAAAAGGCGTTCTCTCTCCCTCCCTCTCTCTCTCTCTCTCTCTCTCTCTCACACACACACACACACACACACACACACACACACACACACACACAGAATTTCATAGGGTTATAAACTAGCTGGGCCTGGCCAGCTGCATGAACCAGCTTGCCTTCCCTGTGCAGGTGGGCCTAAACAAAGAAGCTCCAGCCTGGCATGCATATGCCAGACCATTTTTCTTTTTTGTAGTATTTTTACTTTTTAAATTTTGAGACTGGGCTTTGCTAAGTTGGCCAGGCTGGGCTTGAACTTGTAATCGTCCTGCCTCAGCCTCCCAGAGTACTGGGATTATACGTGTGTACCCACATGCCTGATTCAGACAATTTTTCTTAACAACATAGAGAAAACTAGTACCAAGGAATACACAGACTTTTTTTTCCCCGTTACTGTTTACATAAGCCACCTTCTCCTTTCTGCTCATCCCTGACAACTTTCGTTTTTCCTCATCTATAGGGCTGCAAGAATGAGGTCATGTATAATGAACACTCACTTTCGCTGCAGGTGGAGCTCAGCGTTAGAAAGCTTGCCTAGTATGCATGAGGCCTGGGGTCGCATTCCCAGTGCCCCAAAAGACGACCCATTCTCAGTTAACTTCCTCCACCCCTTGATCGCCACCTGTCCTCCTCCCGGCCCAGTTCTCCACTTGGAGCCTTTGGTACAACCACCTGTTTCTTAAAAAAGCCAAACTTCTTAAAGCTCCAAACATCCCAAACCTGTATGAACCTGAACAAAACAACACGGGGTTTCCTCCTGGTCAAACAACATTTTTGTGGCCTGAAACAAAAAGTATTTACCAATTCCCTATGAGGAAAGTGATTACTATGTATATCTAAAATATACCAAGAGAATCTGACTGAAGGGAAAAAGTATTGTCATACTAAAGGCATAAGAAGGAAGCCCCAAGACACACAGGCTCTGCCTTACAGGAAGAGCTTGGCTGTAATCATCACAAGGGAGGATGCATGCCTCTGTGGACATGCATTTGACCCCCGATTTCTACCCCACAACACCCGTGACACATGCCCCTGGTCCGGGCAGCTGTGAAAACAGAGGTCACTGCCTCTGGGACCCTGGGGCAGCGTTGTAATCACCAGCTTCATTGTTTCAGCAACTTGAAGAGTGGGACTTGGATTACATCCTTCAGAGTCTGCCAGCGAGCGAAGACAACCAGGGAAATTGTGCACCCAGAAGCGCGTGGTGGGCAGCTGACCTCTGCCAAGGCCAAGGTCTGACTGAACACCACAGCCCCAGTGAACCCCACAAGAAGCTCCTTCTAGGGCCTCGGTGACGGAGGGCTGTGGTCTAGGCACAGTCAGCCCGGTGGCCATGTTTTCTCTGTACTTGCTTCGCCCCTTGCGGCCCTAAACCTTGTGTTGCCTGACCTTGCAAGACTTCATGCATTCACCCAACATACATACAGTTTGCTGCTGTATACCAGGTGTGTCCTAGCTCCTGGACCTTTTCCTCTTTGTACTTCCTCCCTTTCTTCCCAGGGAAGGTTACTCAGAGGAAGGACATTTCTGCCTCTTTCAATCTTTCAGTCAGCTTTTTTTTTTTTTCCTTTTTGAGACAGGGCCTCACTATGCAGTTCAGGCTGGCCTCGAACTCGCAGCAATCCTCCTGCCTCAGCCTCCTGAGTGCTGGGATTACAGGCATGCACCACCACGCCCAGCCTTCAGTCAGCTCTTTGGCACACTCTTGCCTTCCTGGCTCACAGGAAGATGTCGCCTCTGTTACTGCACTTGTCACTGGCCTGGCTCTGGGCAGTTGTGCAAACAACACAGAAACCCTCCACCCCCTCACCACTAGCTGAGGCCCACACAGCAAGGCAGAGCTGCAGCTGAGGAGCAAGGCGGGCACCAGGGTTCCTGCTCCAGTTCCACGGCAGAGACCCACAGTGCCTGCCCCCTTTTCAGCATAGTTTTGTTGGTAATTCACTCCTCTCATGCAGGATGTAGAGAAAGAGACCCTCCCAATGGGAGCAGATGTAGGTATAGTAGACACACCCTTTCTGAAGAACAGTGTGGCAGAATCTAGTCCCTAGTTATGTGTTTACTTGAGACAGGGTCTTACTGTGTAGCCCAAGCTGGCCTTGAACTTGCAACAATCCTCCTGCCTCAGCCTTCTGAGTGCTGGGATTACAGGCGTGCGCTACTACACCCAACGGAAGTCCCTATTTTAAAGGTACAAAACCCCTTAATCAAGCTATTCCATTTCGTATTGCTTTGTTTTTGTTTTTTTGAGACAGAGTCTCACTATATAGTTCAGCTTGGTACAGGTGTGTGGCACCACACCCTGCTCAAACTATTCCATTAAAAAAAAATCTCTCCTGAACATATACCCTAGTGGGTAAGGGTATATATTCAAGGATGTTGGTTGCAGTGTTAAAATGAAGAAAACTTGGAAGCTAGGCATGGTGGTGCATGCCTGTAATCCCAGTAGCTTGAGGCTGAGGCAAGAGGATCACTGAGAGCTGAGGCCAGCTTGGGCTACATAGCAAGTTCAAGGCCGGCCTGAACTACATGGCAAGACCCTGTTTCAAAACAAAACAGTAAGGCACTCCTTCATGAGGCTCAAATGCACAGTACCTACTCATACAGATACTGTTCCCCTTGGCCCTACTCAGCCAGAGGAACCTTGCGAAAAGCTGGGGTGGGGCAGATACGGGTAAGCCTGAGGTGCACCCTGGAAGAGGAGACTCAGGCATCCTCGAGGCTCCAGCTGCTGTAAATCAAAGGGGTCCTCCCCACTAATCCGTGTCCTCTCTGCAACCCCAGGCCACACTGTGCCACGATCCCAGGACAGGCTTCTGGAGCAGCTGGTCCTCCTGTGTGCGACGCAGCATGGAACCCCCACCTCTGCCCAGAAGGTGCCTGCCCGTGTGCGCAAAGACACCAAAGAACAGGAGGCCGGAAGCAGGTGAGACTTGGTGCCCGCCATGGCCTGTGTCCTCAAGACTGGCCCATGTCAGGCAGCACGGATAGGGCCTGCTGTGCGTGAGGCACTTGATATGCTGCTTCCTCATTTAATCTCAAGAACTGGGTCAGGCAGGCAGCCTGGAATCTGGGGCTGAGAGAAGTTGCCTTCCCAAGGCTATAAATGGCAGAGCTGAGAGTTGAGACCCCAAAGTATCTGCCCCAAACCTAGGGGACCTCCTTCTACCGTCCACTTAGTCTCCCTGGAAGTAGTTCCTTCCCCTCATGCCATGCTGGTGCGTCCAGCCCTGGGTTTGTGTCCCAGCCAGGCCAATCAGCGCTTTTCCTTAAGGTTTGTCCCTCTGTAGCCCTGTGAAGGGCTGTTGGCACCTGTGGGTGCATATGGAGAAAAGCAGGCCACAGATGGGGGAAGTTGAAGGAGAGATAGAGCCCTGGAGTCCCTGGAGACCCAACTGTACCTCTCCCCTCCCACACTTTGGGTGCTCCACCCTTTTAGGAACCTGGAAGTCAATGCATCTCCTTCTTTCACTGACCCGGATGTCTAATAGACATGGCCACATGTGTACTATCCAGTATGGTAGCCACGAGCCACATGTGGCAACTGAGCACTTGAAATGTGGCAGGTGTGACTGAGGAACTGAAATTTTTATTTTCTTGTATTCATTTCAGTTTACTTAGCTTACATATGAATTTATTTATTTTTGCAGTACTGGACTTGAACCATGGCCTAGTGCCTTCTTATCTATTTTGAGACAGGGTCTTGCCTAGTTGTTAAACGGCCAAGCTGAACTCAAATTTGCATTCCTCATGCTTCAGTCTAACAGAGTAATGGGATCAGAGGCATGTGTCACCATGACTTAGTTTCTGTATAAATTTAAACAGCTACCTGTGGTAAGTGGCTACCATACTGGACAGCACAGACAGATATCAGATGTCATGCAAGTTCTACTGGACAGCACTGGCCTGTCTTGAGGGTGGTTCTGGGGAATAGAAAGTACACAGAGCCAGGTAAAATGGTGCACACCTGTAATCTCAGCTATTCAGGAGGCTGAGGCAGGAGGATTATAATTTTGAGGCCAGCCTGGGCAACCTAGAAAGACCCTATCTTAATTTAAGAAATAAAAAGGGATGGTGTTGGAGCTGGGCATGGTGATGCACACCTTTAATTCCATGAGGCTGAGGCAAGAGGATCACCTTGAGTTCCAGGCCAGCCTGGGCTACATAGTTTGTTCAAGGCCAGTCTAAACTATGTAGACTCCATCTCAAAAAAAAAAAAAAAAAAAAAAAAAAAAAAAAAGAAAGAAAGAAAGAAAGAAAGGAAGGAAGGAAGGAGGGGGATGGGATTGTAGCTCAGTAGTAGTGTACTTGCTTAGCATGCACCAGGTTCTGGGTTCAGTTCCCAGTACCACACACATACTCAGAAGGGTTTACGGTACTTACCCATACACGGTGGGTACCCATTCAGGGCCACCATGAGCACTGTGATATGACAAGTCCAGCAGGTCCTTGTCCCAGAGAAAGGAATGGGCCACCCTGGTTCTCTCACCTCAGATGTACTTCTATGAAGCTGGGCTCTCAGGCTGTGCCAGGCCAGAAGCTAGCTGGGGGCATGAGGCTGAAGACAGAGCCTCCTACCATCTTCATTGACCTGCGACAGACAGAACCGCCGGAGCCACGAGACCAGTCCCCAGGAAGGTACAGAGCAGTGCCAGCCCTGCAGCAGGCTCTCTGCTTGGCAGAGTCCCCCACTGGCCCCACAAGGCCTTGGCAGTTCCTGCTAGGGAAAAGCAGGAACTTGGAAAGACTCAGAACATGGCTTATTTGACAAGTGCATTTAGCCAGGAACTGGGCCTGGCCCATCCCGCTTGGCCCCCTGTGGAGAGGGGCAGAGGGCAAACTTCATCTAGACTGGAGTCCATCACCTGCGCCCTGTCTCCACCATTTGGCAGGAAATCCAGCAGCCCCGTGATTTCAGCTGTTGCGCTTTGGCTGGCTGCCACCCCAGCCTTAGATCCCCAAGGGGACCTGAGCACTCCAAGTCCTGGGTGGGGACCAGGCCTGGCAGAATGCTTTGGGATTCATGCAGAGAACCTAATTTATTTTGCTTCACAGTCTCAGCCGCAGCTCCTCTGACAGTGGGGAGGAGGAGGAGGACACAGAGGCTCTGGGAGACCAGCAGGGCCCAGCGCAGCAGGCACCTCTTTCCTCCTGGAGCCTACGGTAAGCACAAGGGGCCGCCACCGCCCAGGCATCCTGGCCATCTTGGCTATCAACCCTGTCCTGCACCTTAAGGACTTGCCAGTGAGGGTAGGCGGTGTCTAGGACCCATGGGAGCCCGGTGGGGCCCAGCCTCTACCCCAACCTGGCCGGCTGTGCCTTGGGCATCACTGAGGACACCCCAGCTCCTCCCGAGGGTGGCTCAGTGTATTCTCCTCCTACGCACTTGCTCCTGCCACAGGCGGCCGTGGAAGTGAAGGGCAAGTGTAGTGATGGAACCAGAGGTGGTTGTTAGCCAGGAAGGAAAGGCCTGGGTGAATTCCAGTGTCAGACTCGGAGAGGTGAGGGAGGCCCCACTGTAGCCTAGGGGTGAATGAGAGTCACCCACTGTGGCAGTGGCTAGCACTGGGAGTATCCGGCCTCTCTGCACTGTGCGATTAGGCATGTCAGAAAAAAATAGAAGGAAACAGGCGAAGCATTGACCGGGTGCCTTGCCAGAAGCGGGGGACATGGTTAGCGTGCAGCAAGACCACAGGGCAGGAGCTGCAGCCCCTCCGTGCGTGCTAGACCCAGGCACACACGTGGAGCTCACTGTGGCTTTTCCGTTTGAGTCTGGCCCTGGAAGTGTCTCTCCTTCCCTCCGCAGTGGCCCTGGCCAGGGCCATGCTTCCTCGGCAAGGGTCAGTGTGTGGGCGAAGGTCAGAGCGCTTCTGCTAGTCTCACCACCCGAATCCAAGCCTTGCTCTGTGGCGCCTGAACTGAGCACCCGCTTCCTGGTCTGCAGCTCTGGGTCAGATGATTGGCATCCAAGCCCAGTCTGCTCCTTCCACAAATGCCTTCGTGTCGCCAGGCCTGTCTTCACCCGGGACTGGGGGACAGTTTTTATTCTCACTCCAAGGATTCCAGAGTCGGCACTAGCAGGTGCTGTCAGTGGCTGTGGTTTTGTTGGCCCAGGCTTTGAGACATTAAGAGTGTTCCCTCCCATGCTGACTGGGAAAGGAGCTGCATTCCTCTGGACAGCTCTGCCCAGAACAATGTCCATGGTCTGCGTCTTCTTTCTAGACTTACCTCTCAGTTAGTTTAACCAACTAAAACCTAAACTTGGAGAGGGAATTCAGGGCAGATGGTGATGTTTTTCTAGCTGCCTTTCCTGTTTGGTGGGGATCTCTGGGGGCTCCTGGAGTCACTTGTGGGAGAGGGAAACACTCCACTTTTGTGTGATACCTCTGTCACTGCCCCCGGGGGTGGAGACACCACACTAGCCGTCATCCCACTGCTGCCTAACTGGACCCCTGCAGTCGTCAGAGATCACTGAAACCCCCTTGGTTCCAGTGCCGGGGGGCGATGGCTGGGCCCCCTCTGTGTGGTATGGACTGAGGTTGGTTTTGCTGCTTTCCAGGGACTGTACTGGGAAGAGCCAGCTTCTCCAGCAGCTGAGGGCATTTCGGAAGGGAACGGCTCTGCCCCAACTGCCTGCGAGCGGGCGTAGCTGTGGCCAGAGAGCTCAGGTCACTGAAGATGCAGCCAGATCCAGAAGTGAGAAAAAGGAAGACACAAAAACTCTGGGCAGAGGGGCAGAGTGCCCAGACCAGACTCCCAGGACACCCCGGGGCCCTGGGGCCAGCGTCAGCCAGGGAGACCCTGGTGTCTCCTCTGGGCCAGCTGCAGGCTCCTCAGGTAAGGAGATCTGAAGAGCAGGCCGGGCTGCCTCACTTTCTAGCCACACAGGCCTTGGTGGTCCTCTCACCCCAGCTCCCTGAAAGGCTAGGCAGGAGGATCCCAAGATGGAGCACAGCCTGGGTAACCTGGTGGGACGCTGTCTCAAAATGAAAAATAGTAAAGGGCTGGGGATGTAGCTGAGTGCAAAGACCCTAGATTCATTCCCCAGTACCACAAAAAGGGAGGGAGGGAGGGAGAGAAGGAGCGAAGGAAGGAAGGGAGGAAGGAAGGAAGGGACAGAGGGAGGGAAGGAAGGAAGGGAGGAAGGAAGGAAGGGACAGAGGGAGGGAAGGAGGGAGGGAGGAAGGAAGGGCCAGGAATATAGCTCAGTGACATAAGTGCCTGCCTGGCAAGCAGGAGGTCATGAGTTCGGTTCCTGGTACTGAAACAAAGAGAGAGAGAGGGGGAAGGAGGGAGGAAGGAAGGAAGGAAGGGAAGGAAGGAAGGAAGGAAGGATTGAAGGATAGATTTGGCCACTGCATTGTTACGTACCCACGCAAAAGATGCAAACACAAATTTGTGCATAGAACATGACAGTAAGCTAGGCATGGTGGTATATGTCTGTAATTCCAGGACTCTGGGAGGCTGAGGCAGGAGAATGGCAAACTCAAGCCCAGCTTGGGCAACTCAGTGAATTAATGAGACCTTGTCTCCAAAAACAAAAACAAAATACCAGGACAAGAACTCTGGGAAACAAAGTGGCCCCAGTCCTCTGAAGAGGCTGGAAGAAAACATCCGGACACAATGTCATTCGTTCTCTGGTGGGACAGGAAGACACTTTCATCTTTTCCCACTTCTACATATTTTTTTCTTTAATAAATATTACTTCCATCATACCAGGTATTTTTAAAATCTAGTGGTGTCTGTGTGTGGGGTATATGGTACTAGACTTGATCTTAGCCAAAAGGCTGAGAAGCAATGCATGTATGGTACTAGAGATTGAACCTAGGAACTTTGCATTGATTTACATCCTTAGCCTGCTTTAAATTTTTTATTTTGAGACAGGGTCTTGCTAAGCCAGCCAGGCTAGACTAGAACTTGTGATCCTTCTGCCTCAGCCTCTCAAGAGTGCTGGGATTACAGGTCTGTGCCACCACATTCAGCCAAAATTCAGGCTGAAGGAGATTTGAGCCTGATTTTCTAGGTCCCTGGAGATTTGCTATGTTGTGTATTAAATTAACATACACATGTACATGCCCACAGACATGCACTTTTGGAAAAGGGCTAACAACTGAAATTTGCTGTTTTGGTTTTTTCTTTGCCTAAGACATAAAGGCACACGCAGTTTCTGGGGGCCTTCCAGACTGAAGGAGGTGTTGGCCTTCGCAGACTAGATGCTGTAACACTGAAAACCGTCTCGTACTAGATAAAGGCACCCACCTCATCGGGTCCAGTGACAGCTGGGGCCCGGCCTGAACAGGAGATGCCTGTGCTCTCTGCCCCGCTTACCCCGCAAGCCTTACCCTACCCCGCCCCAGGGTCCTTTCGTGACTGCCTTCTCAGTGCTGATCTCTTGCTAACGGGTTTCCAGGATGCTGCCCCAGCCTGCCCCATGGAACAGCAGAAAAATCACTGTCATCTGGATGTCTCCATGCCATGGGCACGGGGGCAACAGAGGGTTCGGCTGCACAGTGCTGAGAGGGCCCAGGGATCCCTCCGTAGCGAGTCCTGAGCAGGCAGAAGACCCCACGTGACTCTGGCCACCCTCAGCCAGCGGCACCATCACACAAACTCCAGCCACAGGCAGCCAACGTCACGGCCTCAGACTCCTGCCCTGCAGACCTGCCCCTCAGCTCCCACCCAGCCAAAAGGGGCGTCTCCATTGGCTTCCACAAAGGCCACACAAAGCGCCCCCCGCTCCACAAAAGCAGAAGGAAGCTGCTCCAGGCCACCTCTCCTTGCCCTCCGCCCTGCTGCAGCTGTTTAACTGTCAAAAGCAAGGGTGACTTTTCCCCCCTCTAACTTCATTTTCTCTCATCCGCACACCTCTTCATAGCAGGAAGTTCATTTAGAATGTTTCACAGTAATAAAAAATAAACTCTGTTCCAGCTTCAGCTCTGTCTGTGAACTACGTCTGTCAAGGCAAGCTGGAGGGACGAGGTGGCGGGAGTTCAGACCTGGGTTCAAAGCCAGCTGGGCACCATGTTTACTGCTCTCCTTGCCACGGCTCCCCACTCACAGGAGTCCTGGAGGCTGTCTCACAGCACAGGCACCCAGAGCCTGAACCCTTTCATCCAGGTCAGCAGGGGGTGACAGTCCCGGCAGTCAGAGGGTGAGCAGCAGCAGTCAAGCCTGGAACAGCAGAAGGAGCGGCTCCTGCAGTGGGCAGGCGGGCAGGAGGGCTCTGTGGGAGACGCCTGCTGAGGTGGGGATGCCTCTGTGGCCTGCAGGGTCCCCTAAAAAGGAGGGAAGTAAGCCCAGGCCTTGGTGAGACAGGAGAGAAGGATCTGATGCCCTTCTAAACACATTGCAGCCGGCCCAGCTCCATCAGGGAGGTTTTTGTTTTCTGCATCACTGAGAATTCAACTGAGGGCCTTTCAATTGAGCTGTGTCCCCACCCCAGCTCCCCCTTTTGTTGAGATAGGGTCTCGCTAAATTGCCCAGCTGGGCTCAAACTTAGGATGCTCCTGCCTCAGCCTCTCAGGAATTACAGGTATGCACCACCACTCCCAGCTTCTGGGAGACATTGGCTTTGGCTGTACAGACTTCAGCTGTGGACCCATCATAGATGGTTCTACTGCTTTATCGGCCTCTTCCAGTATGTCTGTGAGGGGCCGTCCCCTACCCCTTGACCAGTCTGAGACTACACCCGCACAAGCCCAGCTTTTCTCCTTTATAAATACCCTCCCCATACTTTTAGGGGTTCATCCATGCACTGTTCCCCCTTATGCTGTAGCCTAAGTCTAGTAAAACTTGTGGATGACACATTCCTGCCTATTGATGACTTCCAGCTCAAGAAGGGCATGTTAAGCTGGTAACATTAAAGGCGGCTGGCACCAGCCAGTGTCTAGCACCAGCAGCTAAAAGCTGGTAACACTGAAAGCAGCTAATAGCAGAGAATAACATAGCCACAAAGAAGAGCTGGAACTACCACATTTGGTGGCTGGGAGAGTGCTCCAGGCCTGCCGGGAGCTGCCTGCTCTGAGCAGCAAGGAGGGTCACTAACTCTAAGAGTGGTAGCTGCTGGCATTCAAGCCCACAGCTCTTTTTTTGTTTGTTTGTTTTGTTTTGTTTTTTCTGGTACCAGGAATCGAACTCACAACCTTGCGCTTGCCAGGCAGGCGCTGTGCCGCTGAGCTAAATCCCCAGCCCCCAAGCCCACAGCTCTTAACGCTAAGAGCTACATTTGCCAACTTGTGGTTTCTGCATGAATTAAGCAAGAACCCCCAGGGGACTGGTCACATCTTGGAAGCTGATTTGGGGACTTCCTCCCCTTTAGACGGCAAACAACAGTGATGGTTGTCAGTAGGCTGGAGAACCAGTCTACATTTGATCTCCATCTTGTGTGTGGCTAGGAATTCATGCCAGCCTGGTGACGTGGGCAGGCCAGACTGAACAGGGAAGTGGGTGGGCAGCAGTGCTGGTCCTGTGAGCTAGTGGGAAGGAGATGGCTGCTTCTGGCTGGCTCCATGAAGACCAGCAAGCGCCCAGCAGGCCCCTGAGATCACCAACACTGGTCTAGAAGGAAAGAACCATCCTGAAAATGGGCAGCTACGTTATGCAGAGTACACATGGACTGAGCACACAGGGGCCAAAACAAGCTGGAAATGATGTATTAAGGGAGTGAAGAAAGAGCAGGTTGTGAACCCAGGAACCTGAGTCATGCTGAAAGGCAAAACTGTAGCCAGGGGTGGTGGTGCACGTCTGTGAGCCCAGCACTTGCGGGGGCTGAGGCAGGGTGATTGCTGCAAATTCGAGGCCAGCCTGGGCTACACAGTGACTTCAAGAGGAAACTGAACTATATAGCAAGACCCTGTCTTAGGAAACAGACACAAAAAGCAAAAATGTAAAAATATACATACTAAATGGGCAAAACAGAACGGAGCATCGCAGGCTGGCAGGAAGGCCAGGTCCGCTCAGCTCCAAGGAATGGCCTCATGGCCTGAATGAAACCTTCCAAAACCAGCAGTTTCAACAGCCATAGCTGCTCCACGACTTCTATGATGACTAAACCCACCAAGGATTCCACTGCTGCCCTGGGCCACTCACCAGACATGGGTGTGGCTGGATTCCAGAGGCTCTTTCGCCTCATGGGGTCTTAAGCTTAAAGGCTGAGTTTTCCACAAGGCAGCTATGTCCTAAGAAAGAAGCACCAGCCTGGGAATAGAGGTAGCCCTGGGCCCGCCCTGGGGACACAAGCCAGGCCAAATACCAGGCTTCCTCACTGTGAGGGGAGGTCAGGAAGACGGCATCTCAGGGACGTGTTCTACCCGGCTTCCTCATCCTGAACAGCAGACGTGAATCTGCAAAGGTGACCCCAGACTCCCCCGTTTCCCTCTGAAATCCTGGACAGCCACAGAGGGGCTGGAAGGTCCTGCAGGATAGAGGGAAGGCTGGCAAGCAGCCCAGAAAGGCAGAGCCAGGTGCCACAGTGAACACTTGCAGTCACGTGGCTGCTTCAACTAGGCCGAGAGCATCACCGATATTCGTGCTCACCGCGGACCTCAGCCTGTGACCTTATTAGAAAGAGGTCGTTGCCAGGGGTATAGCAAGGGCCACAGCGCCTGCCTGGCAAGCACGAGGTCCTGAGTTTGATTCCCAGTACCCACGCCCCACAAAAAGAAAGAGGTCTTTGCAGCTGTAGTCGGTTAAGATCAGGTTACTGTGGATTGGGGGCGGGTAGTCCAAAGACTGGGGTCTTATAAAAAGAGGAGGGGAAAAAAAAAAATAGAGGAGAGGACAGAGAGAGAGAAACAGTCACAGGTGCAGAGGGGAGGACGCCATGTGACGACAGAAGCCTCATCCAAGGAGCACCGGCAGACTCCTCAGCTGGACTCTCCACCAGGCCCGTTAGAAGGAACCAGCTCTGCTGATACCCTGACTTTGGCCATGTGGCCCTGAACCATGAGAGAGTTTCTCCTGTGGATGCTTCCCAGTTCACATTGCCTGCTCCGGCCCCCAGGACACACATGCAGCTCAGCACCTACTCCCCGCCATGCCCCATCCCCAACTTCCTCCCTCAGCCTAGGCACCCAAGGGCCCTGCGGCCATGTCTTCATGCTGGCCGTGAGCACACAGAGTTGGCCTGAAAATGCCTTCAGATCAGGGTGGCTGCTTCAGGGACAGAACCCTCGAGCAGCATCATGGGCCCCGGGACAGGGAACTTCTGAGAAGGTTCCTCCTATGAGTGTTGCATATTTTGTCTCAGCAATGAGAAAAGTAACCAAGACACACCGCACTTCTCACTTGTGTCATTGCCCTCCAGAGCCTGTTCCCTCTCTCTGGTCACAGGGTGTCAGCAAGAACGAGCTCATGAGAAGAGCTGGTATGTGGGGCAGGATGAACAGACAGGGATAGGCGCAGAGGGCAAAAACAGCCTGGGCAAAAGGAGCCTCTCCCACCTTCAGAGCAGTGAAGGAGGTTGAGGTGGGTAATCTCTCGAGTTCTAAGGTGGACAGACTGGCTGGAAGACACTCCTGAGGGGTCTCTGGTTTCAGGGAGGACACAGAGTCCAGGTCTGGGAGAAGACGGGCAAGGCCCCTTTCACTTCTGGTGGCCACACCCCTCGGCCCCTCCTCAGGAGCACAGACTGTGGAGTGGTTGGCACTGTCTGCTGCGGGGCTCAGCCCTGTCCCGCCCCCCAGCCCACAAGCTGAGGGCTCATCTCAGGCCCAGCTTCGCCGGCAGCCTCCGTGTCTCAACCCACCTGCCATGTGTGACACTAATTCAGAGGCCACCCAGAAAGACAACGCCACAGACCTGTCCCAACCCAGGTACCACAGGACAGCAGCGATCCGCTGGGGCCACCCTCCCACAGGTCCTGTGCCGGAACTGTTAGAACCTCCACCCAAGTGGTGCTTCCCAGCAGGTTGTCAGGCCAGGACAGCAAAGGGACTGAGCAGGCCTCAGAGTTCTCCAGGAGTCTGGCTGCCACTCCAGCTCCACCCACAAACACCCGCCTCACGAGCTAATCCTGCTTGTGTTCTAACAGAACGTGTGCAAGGAGGGATGGGCTGTAGTGAGTGTGGAGAAGGGGACCATGGGCCATGTGTTCGCTACAGGAGGAAACCGCAGAGGGCTGTAGTCAGTTTATTTTCAGCTTGCGCTTTTAAGACTTGGCTAACAAGTAACTCAGCTATGTTTCTCTGCAGCAGGCCGTGGCACAGACAAGCAGGGCTGGTGGTGCAAGGACAGGACACTGCAGGGACCAAGTGAACAATGTGTGGAGCAGGAGGTCGCGGCTCAGGGAGCAATGACCATTTGAGACCATTTGAGACAAACCCTGGCTGGAAGGATGGGAGATAAGCAGTCCGAGGGCCCTTGTGGCCTCCCAGAGGTCTCACCTGGAGCGGCACAGTTGTGACTGGCCTGTGGCATTGAAGTCCAGTGACACCACCACGGCCAGCCACATGCCACTTACTGTGGCCTGTGCACACAGACCCAGAGGCCCGGAGGATGGTGAAGGTGGCCCACAGGGGGCACGGAGTGGGTGTCACTCATGGCTCACACAGGGCCACCTTTCCCACTGGCTCCAACAGGCTGGGCCAGGAGAGGCAACAGTCTCTGCACTCCCAGAACCTGGTTCTGCTGTTTGAAGGTGGGAATCAGGATGGGCGGTATCTAGACGCTCAGCACTGTGCACGGTGCATGGTGGGCACTCCAGCCTGGCCCAGCCTGTCCTCTGCCCCACTTGGCTTCTCCCCTGACTCTGCTCTAAGCCACAGCCACTTTGCTGAACACCAGTTGCTGGTATCACCCTGCACTACAACCAGGGTGCTGGGGAAGCAAGGCTTGGTCCAGAAGGGGAAAGTCACAAGCCTGGGACAGGCTGCCCGGTGACAAGGCTGCCCTAGGAGTCTAGAAGGATGAGATACAAGCACTGCAGACCTACCTT